TCGAGTTGGGAAACAACGAAACAACAACATCGCAGACAGATCCGCTGTTGATATGCGAGCTCTGTTCTGAGCACTGTTGTGCGTTGTGAAATCGCCTTTTCGTTGTGATTTTCTCAGACAACTTGCTTTCTGTTACATAACAATGAGCGTTATTACATTAAACTGTAAACACAACCGTGGTGTAAGTCACTGAACAAAAATAATGGGCGCGATAAATTATTCGCTGGAGTTTTAATTATTAACTTTGGCAAATGTTAATAAAAGTGTTATAAGACGTATTGCTGAAAATTTATTTCAATACGAAGTAAAAAGGTGTGCAGAGGAGTGTTATAAATGATTATTAGCAACCCCAGCGGCTAATTATTGCCAATGAAAGTAGTCTGAAATTATGAATTGATATTTTTAACAGCAATCGTACGAACAGACAAAATAAAAGCTAGGTCTTCCTTTAAAGTAGATTGCTCACAAATGAAGCTGATCATCTTTTGCATGGCAAGTGCCGAATGTTTGCTCTGGCTAGACAGGGTTATAAATATAGAGGGTGGTTCAACATTGGTTACATTAATAGCCAAAGCCCGCGCTATGACCAAGTCCGCCTCTTGGCATTAACCGCTCTGTGGAATAAAAAAGGCCACCTGTGTCTACTGCTTCTAATATTCTAATACGTGTGTGTGTGGTGTTTGTCTGTCAAACTTCATTTGAATACTATGACGATGTATTATTGACAATGTATACATGTTTTAATTTGGCATTTGCCGCCGGTCCCGCTTAGCCGCTCTCCGCCCCCCGCCCCAGCCGTTAATTCAAGGGGGAACGGCAAAAAAAAAAAACCAACAGAAATAAATAAATAAAAACAAAAGCGGTTTGTGCTTGACGTCACAGTGACGTCATTTGAAATCGACAGCATACACAATGCATAAACATTCACTTAATCATTCTACTTCACTGTGTCTAACTAAGTCCAAGCGCCGCCTGGTCCGAAACAGGTTCTTTCTAGCAAGCTCCCACGTGACTTCTTTATATTAATAGACTTTTTATTGTTTAATATATTTTGATATTATTCATTAACCCATTACAGAATTAACAAAGTCCTTCACTTTAATATAGTGCTCAAGAACTAGCGATAGCGTTGGCAGAAAGATGTAATTTTTCACTTATAAAACAATATACAAAATATTCAACAAATGAAAATCACTTTCCCAAGGTACCCCCTTCACGAATTTTATTGAAAATTTCAGTTCATTGCTTGCATTTTTCAATTGCAGCAGACTGTTTGTATTTGCTGCAGTTCAAATTTTTGGTAACACTAAAAAAAATTGCATATATTTAATATGCAGAAATATTAAAGCGCACGTTTAAAATATTCTTAAAATATTTTTATTGCTTGCTCGACTTTGAGTTTTGACTCAGTTGCATGTTTTCGTTTCATTCGAATTCGCAGAGCTCTTAGTTTAGTTTTATTTCCGACCGTTTGCATTAATTGCTGGCGACGGCCGGCGCTTTTAATTGATTTTTCAACACAAAGTGCATGCGATTTTTATGTAAATAAACTTGGGGCATTTAATGTTTGATTCGCCCGTTGGCTCGTGTTTTTTCTTGCCCGCTGTAGCGCTCGTTTTTATATATTCATTATTATTATTTTTGCGCATTATTACTATTATTATTTTTTGGCACAAGGCTGGCTATTGCGTAAAAAGCTGGTCGTTTGCTGTTGTTGCGGTTTTATGAATGGCTGGCTGTTCGTCGGGTTCGCCGGTCAAGACGTTTGGGTCTGCGGCTCTTTCGCTGTGTAATGCATAAACAAATAGACGACGTGTCGCAAGTGCAGCTGATACAGAAAGATACAATATAAACCACACGTCCGATTCGTGTAAATCTCCGCCCTCCTAATCGAACGGCAAACAAATCGAACGATTGGGCAAATATTTAGCAGTTTCATCGCCTTTCTGCCGTTTTGTTTTTCTAAATTTTACATGCCCTCGCTAACGAATTTATCAATCAACAAACAACAATTTCTGTGTTTCCTTCGGCTTTCAGGCAAATGCCATCATAAATGCAATGGGAGCACGTAAACCGATTGTCCATCAGAGCGGGATTGAAATTTCCATTTCAATTTCCATTTCCCCTAATGACACAAAAGTTCTCATCATCCGTTTGTCTGTTCTAAAATCAATACTCTTCAAGGCCTTTTGCTCTGATATTCGAATACCATCAAACATGTTATTGAAATCTAAATTAATGGAGGCATAAAGCACTTAGGTGCAATTAAGCCCAGTGTTGCATACTTCAAAACTGAATTTGCACCCTTGACTCCCTGCCTTTGGTTTATTTTTTGAAAGAGTCAAACAAGCCAATGACTGCTTTTAATTGTAATTTAAAGATTATGGTGCAGTGCTCGAAAGCTTAACCATTTTTCAGAGCTACGGGCAGTTGTCAGCCAAAAGACCTGGACTGGCCGTAGGTAAATGTCAGGTCACCGGACTTGGCCAAACGGCCCAACGAGGCCGACAGCTAAATCAACATGGCAGATGACGCCAATGGACAAAAACAGGGACAGGAGTACTCAGGCCACCTGTGCTGGCAACAAGGCTTTGAATAGCTGAACAGCGAGAGCGAGAGCCCGTTGGGTAAGATAGCGGAATTTATTATTTTTTTAACGTAAGGGACAGAATAATTTCATTAACTAGAATTCGCTCCTCTTATTACACATCGTCAAAAGATCTATTTCTTTAAATATAATATATATTTAAATATGACATAGTCAAAAATGTCCTTAAAAGTTCCAGGGAAGTTGCGCAAAACTCACATAAAATGAGAACTATATTATTTTAATAAACATTATAAAGTCACGTGAAATTTGATTCAAGGAGACTTTTACTTTCTGTTGGAAAACCGTCGATTTGGCTAAAATAAAGCCAAGTTGGAAGCTTTGGTAAACGATGACGACGACTGTCCTCAGCCGAGTTGAGTTGACATGCATATGCATAAATTTGAAAATGCTTTATTTACTCGAGTCGGCGGAAGAATAAAAATGGAACTTGTATAACTGAGTCAATATTGGCACAAAGTTTTTCCCACTCTGCCACGACCAACACCCACAGTTAGTGTTTCCTTTGTGTCTTAGTATTCTTTGGCTTTTTGCTAACCGAAATATCTGCAAATTTACCAAGGGACAATGATGACGTGTTCGTCAATCCAGAGACATTTTGCGGGAATCGTTTTTGTTTTTTGATAGTCTTCGTAGGTTCAATAGATATATTGCATCACCATTTGAAACTTAATCAAATTTCAATTTTGTTTCAGTAAGTGCAGGGCATTAGACAAGTCGACACATTTAGCAGACCAAGATATTCCTCACGGTTCTGCGGTGTCTGCGTGTTGATTCGGCTTAATGCAAATGCTCAATCATTTCGCGCCGTCGGGCATTCTGCTCCTAATTTGATGTACGACAAATGTGCCAAAAGTTGTCAGACGCATAAAAAACGAAAGGAAAGACAGGAATAAAAAACTCCCAGGTAGACAAAAAAGAGGGAGTTTTGGGTTGGACTGACAGTGTTGTCAAAATTTATGAGCTCATCAACATTTTAGGTAAAATTCGTTATGACGTCGCCGTTTCTTCCTGTCTAGGACTTTGCCGAATTGAGAGTTTGGATATATTGTAAATGCTCGATGGCAAATGCCAGCTGCGAGCTTAAAAATGCTCAGAAATGGGCCAAGAAATTTTCTTTGTCACTTCGAGTGCCCCATAAACTTGCCAAGTGCAACGGAAAAAAATAACAGAAAAGCAGAAAACGAAGGACTAACAAAAAAAAAAAAACTAAATTTGGAGTGCAACAGAAACTTTTGCTTTACCCCCGGCTCGGAAAAAATATGTTGGTATCAAGTTCGCTTTTTGTTGCTAATAGCCAAGTGTTGCCAACAACCACGCCTCCACCGCCCTTTATAGGCGTCGCTAGCAAATTACCTAGGCAAAAGTTCTATATATGTGAGCCCAAGAATCAACAAAGGTCGTTCGTTGTTGCACAAAACAAATGTTGTGTCTCTGTGTTTGCAGCAAAGTGTCGACGTTGTAACAAAAGGGACCCAACTTTGCAAGTGTGGAAGCAGAGAGAACAAATGTTTTTAAATGTATAACAATAAATAACAAGTTTTATTGCAGCTCCCTCCAAACCATCTAAACCACAATTACGAATCCAGAGTTTTTGGGATTATCTTATTTTTTGTAACTATTTTATGTTTTTATATTACCTGAAGAGGTTTATTTGCGATATACTTTATATAATTTATTGTAATTGCATTGTTTAAATAAAGGAATGGAATTGGAAGGGATTTAAACTATTTTTAATTGTAAAACAAGAAAGAAAGCTAGCTTCGGCAAGCCGAAGCTGATATACCCTTGCAGCCATAAAATATTTCAAACAAAATACACAAAGGCTAAACAACATTAAAGCTATGACGATTTTTCTATTAATTTTCCATATTTTTGACTATTGTTCATATGGCAGCTATTTGATATAGTCGTCCGATTTTGATGAAATTTAGCTTGTTATTCAAAAGTCGTTAGAAAACTCTCTTTTCCAAAAATCATGATTGTCTGATAAAAACCAAGAATGTAATCATTTTATTTCCGTTAATTCTAAATAGATTTTGTAAATTATAAGTGGTAATATTTCAAGAAGAAAATCCAAAAAAATAATATAGTCAGTGAAAAATGATTTGCTTTGTCGGGGCAGATAAATTGAATAAAAAGGTATTGACCACTTAACAACGAACTCATCTTACGTCAAAAAACACTTAAGGAAAGCAGCTTGCAAAAGTGATGTCGGTTAAAAATTTCTTTGAGGAGAATTGCAACCAGGCTGCTGCTGAATGAATGCCGATTCTTATAATTATTCTTATAATTATAATCTATCTATGACATATATTAATGCATAAGATGAATAGTTTACCTTATCAATTGGCAGATACAAATTTTCAAGTTCGGGAGATGGTAAACTTACCTTAGGCTTCTCGAAATGGAAATGATCGATTTGCTGACAATTGGGTAGCTGAAAGTGAGTAATGCAAACATTAAATTAACAACTGTATTATACTGATCTGCGTTATCGAGTTTAACATGAAATGCATTTTAATATATGTATGTTCGGTGTGCTCTCATTGTATTCGGTTTTAATGTCTTTTGGGGCCGTTTCTCAATCAGCAGACCACCCAGGATCAAAGAAATTCCTGGAAATTTAGCGGCCCTCTGATTTCATTTGCTCATTTATCCCTTCGTCCCGATATACTGCGCATTATTGTTAATGAATTCTACACGTATGGTCGTCGGGACCTCGACTCGGATTCGATCTGCCAAGCCTGTTCTGCCATCCAGTTTTTGCATAAAAATGTGGTTATACCCTTTTGGTCGGGTAGTCATAATCATTTTGTTACGATCTGACTGGCTAAGATTTTTGCCTGGCTGGAAAAGCCTGGGTGACATATTTTAATTTAAAAATAAGCAACGACTTTTACGAAAATGAAACTTAAACAGGTTTGGTAAAGTTCAAGGCCTTAACCTATATGTTTTAATTCATAATAAATTAACTTGGTCTGCGACCGGTTCTAAAGCTGTTGAATTGCTTCCTATTTGGTTTAAATCCTGTGTAAGCCTTAGTTTAACGAAAAAAGCGGTAAGAAGTTCTTGTCTGTGTTAAATGTTTTGTTGTTTTTAGATTTCTGAAACTTAAATTGCACAATATTTTGATTGTCTGCAGATAGTTCGATTTAAATTTGCATTATCATAGTAAATAAAAAACTCCTTGATAAACAAGGGTGTGTTATTCTTCGACTACTGTTGGCCATCTCAACTTGGCTACTGCTCCGCCCTTTTCGATTTATGTTGTGCTGTTGCCAGGCCGCCAAACTTGGCCGAGAAGACGAAGTCAAGGTGTTGGCCACGTTGCGTTGCCACTTTTCGTGTTTACAGCTGCTGCCTTTGCTTTTTCGTTATGGCTTTACTTTGGTGTTGGCTGCTTTTTGAATCCAAAGCAAGGGTCAATGCACAAGTGATTGGTTTTTAAGTGCACGAGACGCCGACAACGCTTTACCTTTTTTCGCCCTGCTGCAAAGTTTCAATGACACTTTGCATAATTTTTTGGAATTCTATTCTATTCGTCGGGTGATGGATCATGATATCCTATTTGTGTGTTGACAGAGGCAGCAGTCCCAAAAAAATCCAATTTCTGGTCCTCCCTCAAAAAGCCGACAAACGAAACCGGATAGAGGCGAAAAAACAAAGCAGAGCTCCCCATAAAATGGCAAAGTTTAAAGGTTGCTGCGACAAAGTGGTAATAACACTCAGTCAAAGCAAGGTGAGCAGGGGCGCGGGCGGGGTCGACAAGGGTTTGTCTTTAATCAAAACTGAAAAATAAAGAGACAACAAAAGCGTCGAAGCGGCATAAGCCAAACAATTTGGGGCACAGGCATAGAGAGACCAGAAAAATGTCAAAAGAAAACTGCTTTTTTTGGTCTATGTGTACTTTAGGAGTTTTTTTGTTGTGGGAGCGCAGGGGCAGTGGTTATTGGGGGGGCGGTTGTGAATGTAAAACGTTTTTCGGCAGACAAGGGCGAAAAACATAGCCGCTAGTCAAACATACCCAGAAAACAAAGCGGAAGGAGCAGAAAACCTACCCGATATAAAAGCACGGCACAAAGTTTATCAAGGTCATTACGCCAGGTTGGCTTCTATTTGCTCCTTAGCCATCAGCCCTTCGCCCGCCAGTCATTCCTGTCTTGTTGATTAGCACCAGGAATTTCTATTTCTTATCAAAATGTCGACAGACTGGGCAGGTCCGTCTGGTGTTTCCCTGGAATGCGTTCCGCCCTCAACAGAGAGATTGACAGAAGCTAAGAACGTGTAAGTCATTAACAATCAATTCTAGTCCACTAGGTAGAAACCTAATACGATACTTTCGAATTTTCCAGGTGAGATAGGAATAAGGTTGCAGTTCGCCAATTTCTTAATCAAAACCATCTACAACGAAAAAACCGTCGTGTAATAACTAGGTTTCTTTCCCGTCTTAAATTAACTCTAAAAGCCATTAGCCACTTTTATACTAAATACGTCCTTTTCATCTTTTTGATTTCAAGGCAAAAGAGCCGTCATTAAATTGCTTTTCACTTGAAGTAATTCGATTAAATTTACATGCCCTCGAGAGACTTCTTCTTTTGGCAACTAATAAGGCCGTGAGCCCTCCGACCATTTACACGCAGACCTCTTTCACTTTTCCGACATATTCCGCAAAAACTTTTCTCACATTTCACTTGAACTTTTCCCACACGCACAAGTAACTTCAACTGAAAGTTCTAATTGAATTTAGTTTTATTAGGGAACATGAAGGAAAACACAGAAATTGTAAAAAAGGAATGCTCCCGAGCAGCATCTCTATAAGAGTGATGAAAATGTGATTTCTTTAGGGCAAGGAGAACCCATATTCCTAGCCAATTGTTGCAGAATTAATTAAATTAAAGAAAAAGGGAAGAAGACTCTTTATTAAACTCAAAGACGCAAGAAAAACAGAGGAAACCAAACTTGATAAGCCGATTTTGGCCAAAACGGGCAAGTGAACAAAGGCGGCGACCAAAAAAATTGATTTAAGCTGATTTGTGGGGCATTTGTGTTCTCTTGTTTTTTCTACGGACTTCGTACAATATTGACCAAAAGCCACGCCCCTTTTACCAGAGCTCGGGGGCGTCGGGGCAATTAATATCAATTCCCGTTGGGCCATTAACACGAGCCAAAAACATATTGGCTAACAAGTGTCAAAGTCGCGCCAAATTAGCGCAGAAGGCGATAATGATGGCACGTGGGCGTGGCCAGGATTGGAATCGGAATGCCGTGGAAATGGGTTGAAGTCCTGCCGATGATATCCTACCAGGGAAGAGCAGCATGTGGCCAACCCTACTCGCACCAAATGGGGTTCGTTGTTTGGGTCCTGCCCCTATTGATAATAATATTCGATTGGGTTTTATTTGCCCATGGGGTTGGAACTGACGGTTTATTATTGTCTGGGCACAGGATACACATGTTCCTGCCAATTGCCTACGTCACCCTCTTGGAAATAGGTTGCTGGTTCGAGTTCAAGTCGAAAAACTGTGACGCAAGCCCTTCGAAGCAATTGTTCTTGTCTGACAGTTGAAAAGGGCGCCACATGGGGTCACACATCGGAGATATTGGACTTCAACCATCGGCAGTTCTTCTGCAAATGGCACATTGACTCCTCCGACGGAAAGCGGAAACGTTTATCAGCAAAATATCGAGTCCGTCTTAATTATGCAGTCGGCTATTCTGAAACTATCAGAGGCAGTCAATGGAGTTCCACAGAAATAACATTTCAAAATGCAAAGGCGATAAGAAAAACACATCGAAATCATAGCGAGGGTCGTCCTTGAAAAATGTCGGGAAAAGTTTCGACTTTAGAAAAAACTATTTTTAATGGCTCCCATTTGTCAGCTGCAAATGGGAATGGGAATTTATGGCACTGACGGGAACGGAGCTGATTTATGGCAATTTGAAAATGGTTTCACTAATTGGTTCGAGTTTTGATTGCATTTTTCCTTTGAAATTGTATATTTTAATAAAAGAGACTAACGCCAAATGGAATTAATTTATGTATATTCAAAAATTTGTTCTAGCGAGTTAACAAAATATATTTCAAATTACATACATTATAGAGTGACTCAGACTTAAAAAACTTTTGTTTAAAAAGTCAAAAACAAAGTATGAAGACAGATTGTAAAAATGAAACCAAAATATTGTGATATAATTTTTTTTTCATTAGTCAGTATACGTTTCTAATTCTTATCATAATATTTTTCATGTAGCACTAGATATAAAACTTTCCAAAGTTTTAATAAAAACAGAAATTTTTAAAAATTTACTTGGAACTAAAAAATGTATTCTTAACGACTTCTGATTATTTAATGCTCCACCCTGTATCAAAAACACGTGCCTTTGTATATTTTAAACTTTTATCCAAGATCTAACTGACAAGCATTTTCGACGGCTCTTACTTTTTAATCGATTGAAAGAAGGAGAAATGATGCGAATCCTGTGGCGTTAATGCAATTAATTAGAAAGGAGAGACGAGGCCAACGTGTGTAAATTTCAGTTAAGTGCTTAAGTGCAACAGAAAGGGACAGCAAATGTTGTGAAATGGAATGTAGAACAGGCTATTTAACGCGACTAATAAGTCTTACCTGTTTGTTCTGCGTTCTATTTTAACCGCCTTCGGGTTTCCTGTGAATTTTTGCTAGTTAGAATTTCTTGCAACAAATCTGCGGATTCTGATAAGACAGCGGTCGTTGATAAGAACGTTCCCACTTACTCTCTTGCTCTCTTTCGCACACTACGACTGTTGCAGCATAAACAATTTGAAGGGAAGAAGAGGAAGCAGCGACACGCCTAGTGGGCAATTTTCCGGCTTTTCCGATGGGAAATCTGCGTTTTTCGGCTTTGTGCCTCGTTTTGACTTTGCTTTTTGGCTTTGCGCGAGAAATACTTTTGATTTTTTGTTTTTCTTTTCAATTTGACCGCATTTGTCGATTTTGGTTTTCTTTGCAGTTGGTTTTGTTGTTGGGGCTCTCACCAAAACTCGCACACACACTTGTGCGTTCTTACACACAAACACACATACACAAATGGGCGAGCGGGCACACACACACGGCCAAACACGCACACAACGACACACGCGGCGTTTTGCTGACGGTCAAAACTCGGAAAATACGAGGGGAAATGCTTAGCTTTTACCTAGAGCGGCCTAGAAAAGGTCGATCCTTGCTAAACTTTCGGTCTTCCGGCGTTTCGACGGCTCTTCACACGACGGGCTTTTTGCACAAGCGACGATGGATCCGCGAAATGTCTGCTTTCGAAAAAATTTTGGAGTCTTCTGTGCAGTGTTACCAGACGGGGAATCGGATTCGCTCCCAAATGCCACCGACCAGCCGTAAATGCCTAAAAAATACGTCACTTCGCCCAAGTGGCATCCCCGCCGTAACTATTGTTATCTAGCTAAACACTGGTTAGAAGCTTGGCTTCACCAGTTTTGCTAACAGAAATGATGAGATGCATTGTTTTTCAACAGTTAAATCTGGTATTTCTATGCATTTCTGCATATTCTATGCATTTCTATTATATTTAAATCTATAAGTTCGTTGTTGAAAATAATTTTTTATCTTACATCAAACTTCCATTAGGTTAAAGCTTACTTGAAATTTTAAATTTCAGAGTATTACACTGTGCGACAAAAAAATGTTTAAGTTGATTTTTTCTTATTTTTCACTTCTACTAATCAAAATAAGAATATAAGTTTGTGGATTTTTTAATATCAATAGCCAATCAGCTTTTGCGCACACTCAAATGTCCCAAAAACGCGCGTTTTTGCATATTTCACAGCCTTATAATCACATATTGGGAAAATATTTTTTCACCGTTACAACCGTTCATGCAAGTTCAATATCTATTAATTAAAATGTGTTAAGCAAATATACCGTTAGGCTTTTATCACAATGCTTTAAAATTTTTTTCTCCCAGCTCTATACTCTGGGCGACTACGTATGGAACTTGTTACGCGAGGATACCTCTGAAAAAGCCAAAAAAAAAAATCAGGAAAAAAATTCACTTTTAAAAAAATAATAGTTTATTGAAAGTAAAAAAAAAAAGAATATTTTGTGTTAATTATTTTCATAATAATAATTTCATAAAATTTTCCATGAAAAAAGAAATCGTATCACTTAAAAGGTGGCATAGATATTTTTGTGCATAATTTATGCACCTTAACCGAAAACAATCAAAAAAGTTACTTAAACAAAGATTTTGTTAAATTTTGTCGAACAGTGTTATCAGCGCAAACCTTTTGCCTGATTAAATTTTGTTTTTTATATTTTAAGCAAAATAATTACCAACAAATTTGAATTGCGAGTGGATTTAGCCTAAAACGAGAAATGTGGCAACGCCGAGCGCACACATGTTGCGCACATAATCGGTTTTTATGTAGGCGGTTTTCGTATTAGTTTTATTTAATACGACTTAAAAACAAATGTTGCGCTCTATAGAACTTAGAATTAAAATGCCTGCCTAACAGTAACTTTAGGACTTTGCATTTAAAATTAATTTAAACTAAGAAGCCATTACCTACAGGGTATTTGTGAAACGCCTCTGCCGGAATATACCGGCACTTTTAGGTAATGGCCATGATTTTCCCAAGGAAAACGCTAAGGCTGCTAAATTTCCGCCTAAGACGCCCAAGTATCTCGGTTTCGAATGCAAAAAGGAGGATTCAGAGCAACTCCGCCGGAGAAGCGCCCTCCGTGGAAGTGAACTTCAGCAATCGGTGAGTAGGCACCCTCACCCTAAGTTCCATACAATAACGAACCTTATCCTCGCCAGTCGAAACATGACCTTCAGTTCCGGTCGCCTGGCAAGATTTGCAAACGGAACAGCCGTTTGCCAAATGGGAGATACCGCCGTCATGGTCACCGCTGTAGCCAAATCGAAGCCCAGCCCTGGGCAGGGTTTTTTGCCCTTGGTGGTCGACTACAGGCTGAAGAACGCCGCCTCTGGACGGATCCCTATGAACTTCATGCGCCGGGAACTGGGTCCCTCGGAGAAAGAAATTCTATCCGCCCGTTTAATTGACCGTTCGCTGCGACCGCTTTTTCACAAGGACTACCGCACAGAGACTCAGTTGGTGTGCAACATGCTAGCCATGGATGCGGTTCACAGTCCGGATGTCCTGGCCATCAATGCGTCTTCAATGGCTCTCTCTCTTAGTGACATTCCCTGGAATGGACCCATAGGCGCAGTGCGGTGAGTAGTCACTGGGCTTTGAAGTTAAGTCCCTAGAATAACCCTCTACTCTTCTCCAGAGTTGGCCTGTGCGATGGCGAGGTTCTAATCAACCCCACCCGCCGTGAACTGCAGTCCTCGCAGCTCGACTTGGTAGTCTCCGCCACCAAACAGAACCTCGTGGTCATGTTGGAGGGCAAGGGCAACGTGGTGCTCCAACAAGACCTCCTCAAGGCCATTAAACAGGGCACTCGGGAAGCCCAATTCATCATTCACGAGATCGAGCGCCTGCAGAAGGCCTACGGCAGGCAGAAACGCGAGGTGGAATCGCCCGCCCAAGTAGATCCCGAACTGGAGCAGGCCGTGAGAAGCATGTGCGAGATGCGACTGAGGGAGATTTTCCAGGACGCGCAGCACGACAAAATCTCGCGGGATAACGCGGTCAATGAGGTGCGTTCGAACGTGATCGACAAGGTGTGGAGCTCTTTTCCCGACACGGAGCCCTCTCAGATCGGCGAACAGTTTAACCAGGCCTGTAGGGCCATCTTCCGGGAACTAATATTCGAGCGGGGACTCCGTTGCGACGGACGGGACTACGACCAGTTGAGGAACATCACGTGTCAGGTGGATATGTACAAGCCGCTTCATGGATCTGCTTTGTTCCAACGCGGTCAGACCCAAGTTTTTTGTACGGTCAGCTTGGATTCGCCGGAGAGCGCCATGAAACTGGACTCGTTGGCTGCTCTGGAAAGCGGGGGGTCTGAAAGCCAAGAACTTTATGCTGCACTACGAATTTCCGCCATACGCCACGGGTGAAGTGGGTCGGATCGGTCCAGTGGGGCGCCGGGAACTGGGACACGGAGCTTTGGCGGAGAGATCCCTTCTACCCACCCTGCCCAACGATTATCCGTTCACCGTGAGACTCACCTCTGAAGTTTTGGAATCCAATGGCAGCAGCAGCATGGCCAGCGTCTGTGGCGGTTCTTTGGCGCTCATGGATGCTGGAGTGCCAGTCAGTGCTCCGGCTGCCGGCGTTGCCATCGGCCTGGTCACCAAGTTTGAGAACGAGGACACTAAGCACTTGCAGGACTACCGCATCCTCACCGACATCCTGGGTATCGAAGACTACATGGGCGATATGGACATGAAGGTGGCGGGAACGAGGAAGGGCTTCACCGCCATCCAAGCAGACCTCAAGATCCCCGACATCCCGCTGAAGGTTGTCATGGAGTCGCTGCAGAAGGCCACCGATGCCAAGGGCAAAATTCTGGACATCATGGGGGAGGTCATCAGGGAGCCGCGGTGAGTGCAGTCGAAGATAGTGTGTTTCATTACTTTATCGCCCAAATTATTCATATAACAGAAAATACCCCAAGGAGAGCTGGCCAGTGAGCGAGACCTTGTCCGTGGAGCCGCAGCAAAGGGCTCAATTGATCGGGCCCAGTGGTCTGCACATGAAACGTATCTACTTGGAGACGGGCGCCACTCTGACAGCTGCCGATGAAAGCCACTTCAACGTTTTTGCACCCTCCCAAGCGGCCATGGACGAGGCCAAGGAGTTGATCGAGGGCTACATGGTGAAGGAGCGAGTTCCGGACCTAGAGTTCGCCGGAATCTACACTGCCAAAATCACAGAACTGCGGGACACCGGAGTGATGGTCGTCCTTTATCCCAGCATGCCTCCTGCCCTGTTGCACAACTCGCAGCTGGACCAACGAAAGATTGCGCACCCGTCAGCCCTTAACCTGGAAGTGGGCCAGGAGATCCAGGTCAAGTACTTTGGCCGCGATCCTGTATCCGGCTTCATGCGCCTCTCGCGAAAGGTTCTGCAAGGACCTGCCCTGGGCATAGCCCGCTCGCTCAACAAATCCGCCGGCGAGAACGGAACGTGAGATGTGGAGACACTTGTACAGTCCTCATTTGTTATGGTTCCCTGCGGGAAGTCACTTTCAAGTCATGATACTTTATTGTAGGATAAAATTGTTTTTAAAACACGTACGTATATAAAATATGGATGAAGACTCGCATCTTTGACCGTCCTCTGTTTAAGTGTGCTGATTTATTGCTGGATCAGAAACCAGTAAGTGCTAATTGTAGCGAAATTCGGTCAGCCTCAATGGCAAGTATGCTCCTTTGAAGTCTTGGATAATGTGTTCACTAAATATATTTCTAAGAATTAGTTTTTTAAGTTTTGAACTCATTTTTGACTTATCAGGGAACAGATTTAGAAGGGGGTTTTACTAGTAAGACATAATCCAAATACCTACAAATAAGAGCGCTCATTAAAGTAGTGAAACACAAATTGGCAGAATCTGGTTCTTTCTCAAAGAAACTGGTACAATCTTATAAAATTCAATATAAAAGGGAGCGTGTAGAAACGAATTTTGATTCGAAATTTGTAAATGGCATCGGAGAATACAGCCAATAAAGCAAAGTGCATAGTTTTGGCCAAAACAGTTTGTGACGATTCGAAGCTTAACCTACTGACTAAATCTACTAAGTAGATTTGCCGATTCTATGGCGTGGGCAATTGGTGTGGGTTAGATGATTACGCGGTAATAGGAATCAGAAATGCTGTACAAGGCCACGATCGGAGTCTTTGCATCGCTCAGATAGTCCACAACCTCGTCGTTTATCTCGGATATATAGCGTTTGTGTTTCGGAAATCTGGAAGTACAGAAAAAATTAAAAAAAGTGGAAAAGGGAAAAAGTGGAGGTGCAGTGGCTTACCTCTCAATTACAAAATTAATTTCCGGTTCAGTCTCTTTTTTGCGAATTTCTCGGGGGTTGATGGCACCCACAATGGCATTTACAACCGCGGGCGGCAGCTCCACCACCAGCACCACAAAGGTCTCCTTCTTGAGAAACTGCGCCAGGGTGGAACTCATCTGCTGGGCCACCTGATTCTCCAGCCGTCGCTTGTAATTCGCCGTCGGCTTGTCGTGGGTGAGGAACGTGACCTGCAGATTCGGGAGCTGGCTGTAGCTGTTCTTGATGTTGGCACTCGAGGCAGAGGTGCTAAGCCCGTTCTCGCCGCGCTCCCTTTCCCTCCCGCCACTACTCCTGCTGTCGCCAGCACTCAAGTTGGGCAGCATGCTGGAGTTGTCGACCGTGGCTCCAATGATCGCATCAGTCCGCAACAGCTTCTGTATGAACTCGACCAGCTCGCTTCTTGTGAGGTGACGCTCCTGGAAACGCTCCCGCTCGAAGGATCGGACTCTCAGCGAGCCGTTCTCCGCCACCAGGATGACGTGCAATGCTCCAAGTCGCGCCAGATCCTGGGCTTCATCGCCCAGTTCGCTGGAGGCCTCAACGATGCCACAACGGATGCCCACCGACCACAGAAGGCGCATGATGTAGGTCACGTCCTTGAGAGGGGGACGAGTTCCACACACGCAAATGCCCACATCGATGGCCCGGAAATCCTTGGCGTACTCCACACCCACTGCAGCGACCAGTTTGTCCAGGAAGAAGGACAATCCCGCTCCGCTCAGAGCTCCACGTGTGGGCAGGGCAGGATTAAAGCTCTGCGCTTGCCTTTGGAATTCGTGCAGCATGGCATCATACCTTTCACCTACCGCCAGAACCGAAGGATGACCAGAGCGGTTCGGCTTGAGGTCAGCTATCATTTGCCACACGATTCCACCGTTTGAAGCTCGATCGAAGCTGATCGGCAGACCAGCCCATATGTGGATGGGGCACTGGAATACAAGGGAAATATAGTAAGTAGCTCAAGGCGTTTGCTGATAACTTACCTTCACACCTAGGCTGTAAGCCAGCCCCACCACTGTTTCCAGTTCCCGCAAAGCCCCTCTTGCTAGCGAGGCCGCTTCTCCCTTCCCCCGCATCAGGGATTTCAACGCAGAGTCATCCACCGTGCTCCTGGAACCCGTCAGCAGAAAGTTGGCCAACAACATGTCCATCAGAGTCTGGGCAGAGGTCCTCGACTTCTCCATTATGCCAGTAATGCTCGAGTGGAATTGGAAGCGCGAGATTCGAGCCTCGATGAAGTCCATGGTGCCCGCAAACAAGGCTCCATACTGCGCCTTCGGAACGTTGCAGAAGATGAGAATGGCTCTCAGCAGATTCGTGTGGTTCATGCGGATGGTGAGGTTCTTCTCCCTCAGACGCGGCAGTTCGTTGGCGATCTCAAAGGCCAGAGAAAGCAGCTCGGCATCCACCAGGTGACTGCCAGTAGTGGGAGCAATGATATCGAAGGAGCACTCGTAGCTCTGCTTCGGGTGAAAGTTGAACACCCGCTCCTCGCGGTAAACACGATCGACGCAGTAGCGCCGGATGAGATTGACTCCGTTCATAGCCACGTGGCGGGCGAACTGGGTGCGCAGATCAGAAGGCAGGACCACCACACACCCCGAGTGGGTCATAAGGTGCACGGCGTTGGCGTTCGCGTAAGCAGCGCTGTTCCTGGCGGAAAGCGGCGACAGCAGCGGCGAGTCCACCTCGATGGCTCCATGCTTGCGGAACAGATTCACGACCTTGGCCTTGACAAACTCAATAACAGGATTCAGAGACACTATGTCGTCGATGACGATGGCCGAGTTCCAGGACTTCATCGCCCGACTGCTGCCCAAGTGGTAGGTATGCTCCAGCACCTCGTCGCTCTCCTGCTGAAGACATCTAGCCACCAGATTCTTGTAGGCCTTGCTCTGCGGGTTGGCGAGGGCGTGGCGTAGCATTTCCTGAAGCTCGTTGGCTTCTAACTGAGCAGGTGGAACAAGATCTGAGGTAAGGAGCTCCTCCGCCGTGGGCCTTTGGGCGGGATCGTGATTGAGCAGCCATTGAAGCATCTAAAAGGCGACTTAAAAGTTTGATTATTTCAATTTTTCGGGGAAGCGCCTAACTTGCCTTCACTGTCTTCTCATACTTTGGATCCTTAAGCATGCTGTTCGGTATGTTGATGGCCACATTCCGAAGAGCCATTATGGTCTGCGCCCGCTCCATACTGGTGTCGAACGGCGGTTGGCACATCTCGAACAAAATAATGCCCAGGGTGTACATGTCGACCTTCTGGTTGTAGACCGATTTGGAGGCGTTCCCTGTCAGTTCGGGAGCCACATACAGAGTGGTGCCCACCTTGCCGGTCCCAGTGCCATCCTCTGCACTAGTTATCTGATGGACTGGCGCAGGTGCAGCATACTCGTGAGCCTGCAGGGCCAAGAAACTGGTGGTGGCCAGACCGAAGTCACCAATCTTGATCTGATCATGGGAATCCAAGAAAATGTTCACCGGCTTCAGGTCCCGATGTATAATCCCCTGTTGGTGTATGTGGGCGAGGCCCTCTGCAATCTCTCTGAACAAACGCCAGAGGCGATCCGTGTCGTCGTAGAGGTTGTCATCGATTGCGGTTCTAGGTTGAAGCGTATTCTGATTTAAAATTGTGCTAACATGGCATAGCTTTCCCGAAACTCACCGCAGAGTGCACTTCTCGCAGAATTCCATCTGGATGTACATGACCTGCATGAGGGGTCTTGGCGAACTGGTCTTGCCTGTGGTGGAGTCCTCCTCCTCCTCATCATCATAAACAGCAACCTTGCCATTCGAGTCCACGAACTCAATGCCATCCGAATCCGAATCCTCCATGGTGGGTCTATGGAAGATGGGTAAGTTAGCTGGACTGAAACGGAGACAACCAAGTACCACCTACATGTAACCATTCCACATGCTGGACGAGCTCTCCTCCTCATCCTCTTCCAAGGTTGGTCCGAGTTGCGGCGACTTGGCGGGCTTCACGCTGAGTTCCTGCTGACTCTGGGACCACTCTCCGCCCAGCAGCTTGTCCATCTCGGCAGCATCAGCGTCGTCCACGCTTTCGATCCAGCTGTTAAAATACCTCACCACATTCTCGTGGTTCAGCCGCGAAAGCAATTCCACCTCGCGCGTCATCTTTTTGTACAACTGGCGACTCCTCGCGGGCAGTGGAATCCGTTTGATGGCGTACTCCCGGTTGTCCAGAATGTTGCGCACCTTCAGCACGTCCCCAAACGCACCCTTTCCCAAATACATGAGCACCTCGAACTCTGTTCGCAGGCGGGATTGGCTCAAGGCCAGTGTGGGTATTTGGTAGGGCATGGCGGGACCAGTTCGCTGGACAGGATTGGGATGCCGTTGCTGTGGTAGCTGCATCAACTGCTGCTGACCATTGTCGACGTAAAAGCGCAGGAATGGATGCTCCAACAATTCAGAGGCGGAAATGGTGCGCTCTGAGTTGCATCTGCGTTGTAAGAGAAGTCGCTATTAGAAAGGAAATATTAGAATGATAATACTAAATAATTACTTGTCTACAAAGTCGCGCATCTCGTAGCTGTTGGTGGGCATGAGACTCTCCACAAGGGCACCCAAAGCAGGCAGGTCTCCGCGACTGCTGCTTTGCCCCGCTCCGCTGAGCAGCTCCAGAAGATTAGGCACCAGGGAGAAGTCCGAGACGCGCACATTGCCCGCGTTATCCATGAAAACTGTGCTATCTAGCAGGTGGCTGTGGGAAACGCCCTTGTTGTGAAGGAAGATTAGAGCATCGAGCACGCCACGGGCCACCATTCGGGCGCCATCCATGCACCATCCCAGCGAGGAGGAGATGCTAAAAACGCTGGTACCGAGAAGGAAGTCCTGCACCAAGTAGACGAGTAATCCCTCCTTCCGCTTAATGCAGAGCACGCACTCGTACGAGACGAGGTTTTTGTGCTGCAACTGTGCCAGGGAAGACACTTGCTTCTCGATGGAGGCAATCACGTCGTCCACTCGATGGCTGCCCATGCACTTTAAGTCGTTGCCCCAGTGGCATTTCCCGCCACCAATGCAGGGCTGCTCCAGTTGGCTGTACTTGATGTTCCACTCGGTGATGTAGAGCAACTGACCGCAGTGCATATCTATGCCGGTGTAGGCAATGCAGCCTCTCTGGGAGTGACCTGTAAGGATAACACTTAATTAAATTTCTACAAAGTAAGAACAAAGATCTTCTCTTAGAAAGAACTTCTCACCCACACAGCATCCTCGCTGGATTTGCCGGCCCATCTTGTGGAAGTACAGGGTCTCCGTGTTCCGGTGATCCAGACACTTGGCAGGGTATATATGGCCGCGGTAAAAGGGCGAGGAGTTCTCGGAGCTCTCCGAAGAGCTCGGATGCCGCGGGTTCGACTCGCTCATGCTGCGCCTTGGTTCGCCGCGCCGCTTGGCCTCCGTCTTAAACATCTCTTTGCGTCGCTCCACTTCGTCAATAAGCGTCTGCCGTTGCAGGGTCTCCCGCTGGCGCTGCATGTCCTGCAGCTCTTTGTCGCGCTTCTGCTTGTCCTGCAGCATTTGATCGTAGAAAGAACCCTTGGGCGGCTTGTTGTGCTCGAGGAGAAAAGCCTGGACGGTCTGGGCCAGTTCGTAGATCATCACCTCGCCGCGCAGTTCTTGTGACTGGGCCTGCAGCTGGTCGCGAAGGGCTTCCAGCAACTGATCCGACATCCCCTTTGACTCCTCGAGAGAGATTTTAGGGGGCCTAGCGGAAAACATTGTAAAATTTATATGACAGCTTTGTAAACCATAGCAGAGCTCCTCTTACAGTTTTGGGTACTTCGAAGGACAGGTGACATGCAGTTTGGTGCAGACATAGGTTTCCAGTCCATTGGAGGAGTCCCTTAGTGGGGTGAGCTGTATTCGAATGTCCGTGGGCTTCCACAACGCTGGATTCGCTTGGGGTCTGAGGTCCTCCACGTCGCCGCCAAAGATGGACTATCCGAAGTCATGAAAAGTTTGCTTAAGACATCGTTTAAGTCAAACAGCTGCTCACCTTTATAACCTCCAACTCCTGGGTCTGCCGCTCGCGGAACGATTCCTTTGCAGGCATTTTATCCGCCATTTGTTCATTTAATTTCAGTTGAAGTGGTCAATAGCGCTCTACATTTGGTGCTAGAAATACTGGACCGGCGGTTCCTCACGTTTTTTACCGTGTTATAAAAACTTCAGCCGGTGTAATGGTTCCGATTGAGCACTGGCAGCTGTTTCCAAATCAGCTGCTTTCTGCATTACTTTGCTTCATTCTGAGACTTGGAATCAATGCCAAATCGGGTATGGCGTTAATTCCCGACGGTTTATTGCGTAAAAATGTCAACCTGTTGCGCTTTTTGAAAGTTTTTCAAAGAAAAACCTTTTGCGTATTTCGTAGAGCTGCAAGAAAAATTTATGTCTCACCGATACTATCGATTTGTTTTAAAAATGGAATCGATTAGTTACTAGAGGTGCGCAAGGTGCGATAAGACATTGTCGATGGTTCTAAAATTTTGAAACCAAACAGCTTTTCAAATTGAGTTAGGAAAATTATTCATTTTCCTTAGCAGCTCCATAGCTGTAGCAAATATTAAGTTATGTTTTCTTAATCAAATATTAGATTAAGTATGCGTCCGGTAATCGACAGATGATGTAAATTATTTGCACTTCTTCTATTGTCTAATTTTGTCGGTTTAGCTTATCTGAAGAAAACATTTGACAGTCACTGCAGATAAGCATTGTCATCCAAGGGAATGGGGCTTAACTGTTTTTACCATTCAGTTTCCCGATTGATCTGTGGGGCGAAACATGTTCACTCTAAACACTCTCCGTGTTTTCTTGCTGGGATGTCTCCTGCCCGGTACTATGGAGGGAGCTCGCATCTTGGCATTGTTTCCTTTGCCGAGTCCTTCACATTACTTTTTCGCCTTGCCGTATTTAAAGAGCTTGGCTTCATTGGGCCATGAAATAACCTCTGTGAGTCCGTACCCCCAGAGAGAACTGGTGAAGAACTTCCACGACATCCCTGTTCCGGAAGTGTTTGAAAATTTCAATGGTAAGCTAACCTCTGAAGACCAAGCCTGAGTTTCTGAACCGAAAAATACTTTAAAATATCTAAAATTGTGGTTCCAGAAATTCTAAAACTTGCGTCCACTCCCATGAGCACTTGGCAAAGCAATGATGTCATCAACGAGTATACCCTAAACCTTACAAAGTCGGTTCTAAATAACGAGGGAGTGCGTCGGGAGGTTCTGTGCCAAAAAAACCCCATTTCGACCTGATCATAATGGATCTTTGGCGGACCGACGCTCTTTTCGGCCTGGCAGCTTACTTGGAGGCCCCGATAATTGCAATGGCTCCATATGGCACAGACTGGAAGATCGACGAACTAGTTGGCAATACCTCACCGGTTTCCTACCTCCAATCTGCCTCCTCTTCCAAATTCTATGATCTTGGTAGCTACAAAGGACGTTTAGTTCACTTTGTGGATCAAGCCATCTCTTGGATGAACTATAAAGGGCGGTATGTAGAGAAACAGGAGGAGCTCTACGGGAAATACTTCTCCCATGTCGCCAAAAGACAGCCTCTATCTAAGACTACCCAAAACGTAGCTTTGGTCCTGGTCAATCAGCACTTTACCCTGGGACCCGCACGACCTTATGTGCCGAACATGGTCGAGGTGGGTGGCATGCACGTTACTCCCAATCCGAAGGCTTTGCCGAAGGATGTTGAGGACTTTGTCCAAGGCGCTGGTGAGGCTGGAGTCATTTACTTCTCTCTAGGAACCAACGTCAAGAGCAAATTCCTGCCGGAGGATCGTAGAAAGCTGTTACTAGAAACCTTTTCTAGTTTACCGCAGCGAGTCCTGTGGAAATTCGAGGATGAGCAGTTGCCGGGAAAACCCTCAAATGTTTTTATCAGCAAGTGGTTTCCCCAGCAGGACATTTTGGCTCACCCCAAAGTAAGACTGTTCATAACCCACGGAGGACTGCTGAGCACTATTGAGAGCATCCACTACGGAAAACCCATGTTGGGCTTGCCCTGCTTCTTCGACCAGTACCGCAACATGGAATATGTTAAAGCCCAAGGTCTTGGATTGGTTTTAAGACTAAAGAAAATGACGGGTGAAGATTTTAGGTCAACCATTATTCGGCTGCTTACTGAAAAGAGTTTCGAGGAAACAGCGAGAGCTGCAGCTGCTAAAAATAGAGATAAGCCCATGGAACCCCTGGAAACGGCCATCTGGTGGACTCACTATATCCTGCGGCACAAGGGAGCTGCTCACATGAGAGTCGCAGGCAGGGAGCTGGACTTTTTCGCCTACCATAGCATTGATATCCTGGGCACTTTTGTGCTGGTCTTTCTGGCTACTTTGGTTATTATCCTCTGTGCGGTAAAACAATTTAAGAAGTGCCTTCGACTTTTCAGCGAAGCAAAAAGGCAAAAGAATAAGTTGTCTTGAATTAAATTTTACAGCAAAAACCAGAGCTCGACTAATTAAAGAAACATGTTACCAAAAAGATTTTGCTGATAAATTTCCAATCGAAAACTGATTTTTTTCGGGTTTGGTACCTGGATATATGGACATATGTTCAGCATATCTTCTCTGTAGCTTCAGACGAGATCGATTGATTCTCTAAGCTGCTCATTAAAGCTCGACTGCAACGGTGATTTGGTCAGTGGAGGGCTTTACTTGTTTTAATTATTCAAACACCCTGTTCTTTGTGTACTTGTAATACGTGTATATTGTGTAATTGTCAGCATGGAGGAGATCCGAGCCGTGGTGCACCTTAATGACATAAAGTGCCCCGGAAAACCAGCGAGTCACCCCGGAGAAGCGTTCATTGGTGCTGCGGCTTCTGGACAGTCAACGGAGGCGTTCCAACATGGCGGCCAGATCAGTGTTCTGGACCGGCACAGCCTCAGCCTGGTGCGCTGCCACAATCCGAGCAATCCCCATCTGCTCCTCACCCAAAAGCTCCATTTCGATGTGCTGTGCACCCGCGAAAGCGAAAGCGGGGATGAGATTGCCGGCCTCCTAAGCAACCTCTTCGAAAGGCGACGGGACGGGTTCCTGATGCACCTGAAGGTGAAACGCGAGTGCCACCTGATGTTGCTCCTCGACACTCTGGCGATCCAGGTGAGATCGAAGCTTCAGCGCGAGGGCCTCCACCTGGATCACGGCCTAGTGAGGTTCGCCAAGCTCCTGGAGGAGGATCACGGAAGAAGCGGCAGTTGGAACGGGAACGGCCTTCAAGCCCAGAGTTCCTTCAAGGACCTCCATGGCCTGATGCTGTGGCTCCTAACTCAGTACAGGATGCGGGCGGAGCGCAGCACAGGACCCGGTCACGAAGCCCTGGAGGTGGAGTACGCGGTGTCCTCGGAGGAGAGGCGCCTCCAGTTCAGTGTGCGCCTGCATGTGCTGCTAGTGGCCTCGGAAGAGCTGAGTGCGATGTCCATGCAGGGACTCCGTCGCAACTTCGGTGACCAACAAGTTACCTCAGCGGTGCAGGTCACTGAACTCACATCCTTCGTGATGCGTGTGTTCAAACGGAGTCGCGGGCAGGTTTTGTACATGCCTGTGCTGTTTCACGTGGTGTCCACTAACTCCCAAGTGGATGCACGCAACGCCCAGCTCCTCAGTTTGGCTCATCTGATCAGTCAGCACAGTTCCCACCGGCCTGATTCCGTGGTGAGTGCTTCTACTTATTTTCCTCGAAATCTTACTACTCTGTTCTCAGTCTTCAATCAGCAGCTTTGGCTCCCTGAATAATTTGGAAGTGCATCATCAGGAGATCCGCGATCGTTTCAGACTGCTTCATGCCAGTCTGGTGCAGTACATCCAGAAGGCGGAGCAATTGAAGAGCTTCAGCCAGAGATTAGATGACCAACTGGCCCAGTTCGAGGAACTGCTGAAGCAGTCGGCGGGTTCTGAGTTCGGGCATATTCTACAGGCCTCTCAAGCGAATCTTCACTATATGAACAACCTGATGGGAAAGCACACCTAGAAGGCTGAAATTTGATCCGTTTTGTTCGTTGTACTCTTGAAATGAAATGAGTTTACTGTCTTGAATCTAAGCACATATATGTATTTTAGGATATCAAAATTAAAGCATTCAAAATTATAAAGTGAAGTGGAATTAAGAGGAAATTTCGGGACCATGAACAGCCACTCGGCGACCAAAAAAAGCCACATTGTGATGGTGGCACTTGCGGATCCCAAGCGACGTGGCTTTGTGGACGAGCAGGGTCTGGCGAGCGATGTTAGACTCTTGGACAACAAGTCGATCTTGCTGAAGATGCAGCCGACCGCAGGAAAGTCGACGAACTTCGTGGAGCCACCTCGCTACTACCGCCACTTGGAGTTCGACGCCATTGGCTACGATTTTGAGCCCCATATCAGGTCCGAATTGGGCGACTTGATTACTCAGATGTTCCGCCACCACCGTCATGGCAGTCTGCTGCGTCTCTCGTCCCACAGGAACCACAGTCCCCTCCTGCTGACCCGTCTGCTGGTCACTGAGGTGGACAAGCTTATGGTCGAGATGCGCTTCCGGCTGAAGTCAGTGAACATCGACTACTTCGACGTGCGCAAGTTCGACATGGTGAACATGCTGGTGGAGCCCGCAGCGGTTCCCACTCGCAGGAGGGTTACCCCGTGCGGGAAGAGCGTCTCCAGCACCAGGGAGCTCTTCCAGTGGATAGTTAACGACTTCACCCCGTTGAGAAGTCGTGGAGTGGGAGATGAATACGTGGACTTTGAGTTTGTTTACCGGGACAGCATGGCGGAGCAGCACAGGATCCATCTGTCCCTGTTCAGCATATTCGGGAGCGAGAGCCGGTCCGACTTGGTGGAGTTCTTCAGGAGCTTGCCGCAGGGAAGGCAGAATGGGAGCACCCTCCTGAACGACTGCCTGAAGGAGTCCTTCGACCTGAAGTCCCCCGCTCCAACGGTTGTGTTGTTCGAGTTGCCCATATCCCCCGACTTGGTTGAGGCGAGGCGAAAGATCCTGAAGCTGGCGGACGTGGCCTACGGAGCCCTGGAGAGAACCCGAAAGGTTTTGGCAAAATCGGAATCGAAGAGTGTTTTGCAGAGCTTCGTAAGCCTAACCAAGGGAGGCAGGGCCTATGGAGGTCAGTGTCAGGTGAAATCAGATATTTCCTTGGCCCACTGGCGCCGCACTGCCAGATTCTCGGACGAGGACTACAACGGGCTGGCCTATTGGTACGGCCGCATCGACTCCAAGTTCGCGGCGCTCAAACTAGCCATGGAGCAGCACTTTGTGGACCTGTACCGGAGGAAAAGTCTAGACCTTCGCAGCGAGATCAGGTCGATCAACCTCGACTTGAGCGAGGATAACGATGAAAGCGGCGGCGATCGAGCGAGGCCCCAAAGGCCACCAATCGCGTTGGACTCCTCCAGGAAGGCATACACAGCCTTGAAGAAGGAGTTCAAGAAGATCGAGCTGGAAGCTGAGAAAACAGTTTATGCCCCTACCTTGAAGGTCTACATCAGCACGAAGTGCTACGAGTTATCCGAGGCGGAGAGGACCCTCAGGCAGAAGGAGATCGAGAACCTGAGGCTCGGCTTGATTCAGTTCATCACCACCCCCGACTCAAGCATTTCCGGGGAGTAGAAGTTTAACCAGACGCCACCCAGCCATCGTGATGTCTAGTGAAACTCCTCTTTCCCCAGGGAAACATCGAAGCACATACTTTGTCAATTTACTTTACTTGATCGATCTTTTGCAGAAAGACAGAGGTTTTGTAGGGTATACATATAATATAATATACATTTATATATAAATACAATATTATTGTCAACAATATGTTTCATAGTAGTTAAACAGATTCCCCAGCTGCGGCTCCATATTTAATGTGTAACAGTTAAATAGTTAGCTGAATGCTAAATAGGCAATAATATTTTAATATGAGCAGCACTTAATGCCAACACTCAAAGCAACAACAACTAATGAATGTTAAGTCAATGCTATATCGATTCGATTCGACTGGTATTCGTAATTAGACAACAATTTGCATATAGTGTTATTCTCGGTATATAAATATGTATGTTGGCAATGTTCCTGTTCTCGTTCAACAACTTTAAATCGTTTCTCTTGTTGGATATGTGCATTAGGCGATGGTTTTTGTTTGGGTCACCGGGTAGTTCAACCGGGATTTGTACAGAAAGGACTCTCTACGGTGCACAAACGAAACCTAAACTGAGCAATCTGAACGTGGTTTCAACTTAAGCCAAACGGATGATATAAAATGCAGTGCCACTAAATCTAAGCCGACGTTAGTCAACGAAAAGTAATCGAATGTGCTCTAAAATACTCATGATTTTCCGGTGTTTCCGTTGGCTCTGTAGATCCTTCATTTGAGTATGCTGAAGTGTTCCTCTATTTCCTCTACTTTAAAGCTAAGCCTAAACACGGTTGTGCATGGAACCTCTAAAACTTAATTGAATTGAATTAATAAATTATCGGTATATTTTGATGGGGGTCCACAGTTTCTGAAGTGCGTTTTTGCTTAACCACCTTTTTGAGAACACTCGAAGATCCTAAAAGACTCGTTCTGCTTGCACAGCTCAGTTCAAAATGCCAAAATCCGAAGACCTCTTATTGCTTAGCTCCGGAACACTTTTCCTTGTAATTTTTCCCTTTGTTCCGCAGTCTTTCCATAAAATACGGTTCCAGAGCTGAACTCTAATTGGGCTTCTTCGTAAACCTACTGGACACTGGGCCTTGCTTCAACTTAAGACTTACATGTGTATATAAAAATATATATAGTATATATATCGTATTGTCGCCCAGAAGCTGGTTGAAAATTTCGTGTTTTTTATGTATATCGTTGGTTGGCTACACAAAAGCGTTACGTTGTTACGTTGTTACGTTGTCTATATAATGCATCATGCAATCAATGTCTGCTTATAAATGCTGTTTCTGCCCCTGGCTAACTGGAAATCTAATCTCTGCTGTTGCTCCGAAGAACGGTCCTTACTTTTACACCTGAGCCGGTTTCGCCTGCTTTCCGAGTACCATGAGCAGTTTCTGTAGGAATCGCGTGAGGCTTACTGGAAGGCAGAGAAGTCGAAAGTCGGATTAGCATTATACCATAGAGCCGGCCGATCTACAAGTTAGCTAGAGTTAGGGGTGCAAAGAAAAGATTGGGGTTGCAAAACTTGTGGAGCGTTAGTGGAGTTAGTAATTCGGCTAGAAATCAGTGCTGAAGAAAGGCAGGCAGTGAGTCGAATGGAAAACCCAAGTAAACTAGGATAAATAGCAAACTTAAAAACCTTTGACGCCGCTTTGGGACGCACAACCATCATCAGCTTTTGTAGAACTTGCGTGAGTCCGCCTAGAAATTCAAAAATGGGTGGGGATCACAGCGTGAATAAGTGAAATCAATAGGAAGAAAGCAGGTCTCTGGCGGGATTCCTGGCCAGCACTTACCCATGGTCTTCTGGAACCAGATGGGCTTGTTCTTCCAGGCGATGAAGACCAGGTAGACGGGTATGCTGGACAGGATCATCAGGATGCCGTAGCCGGTCTCCACGGGACTGGCGTACATGGGCACGACGGTCACGAACATGGTGGCGATGAGGTACACGATCGGGAACACCAGGGGCACGCGGATGGGGCGCGGCAGGTTGGGCTGGGCCCACCGCAGCCAGGGCAGGCACAGCACGGCCACTCCGATGCTCAGCTGGAGATTCGGGAGGAATTAGGTGTTACTATAGATAGGTATGGCGGAACTGCTTTCCGCTTACCCAGGTGGCGAAGCCCACGTAGTTGATCAGCGCGAAGATGTCCGAAACGGTGAGGTACAACATGGACAGCAGGGCCATGGCCAGGACGGCGGGCGTCGGCGTGAACCTCTGGATCTGGATCATGGTCAGGATCTCAGGCATCTGGCCGTTGTTGGCCCCGGCGTAGAACAGTCGCGAGGAGGTCAGCAGGATGCCGTTCACCGCTCCGAAGGTGGACAAGGCCACAAAGACTGCAAGGAGTAGGGAAGGGTATAAGCAATCATTGGTCTGTGAAGAGGGGAGAGGGAACCCACCTGGAATGGTCCAGGCCAGCATGCCGAAGGCCCGCTCCGCGTAGGTCACTGCCACGGCCGAGGAGCCCAGGACCTCGTCCGGCGACAGGATGGTGTAGAAGGAGACGTTCGCCATGACGTAGACCACCGTGACCAGCGTGCAGCTGATGGCGATGGCGCGGGGCAGGTTCTTGACGGGATCCTTCAGCTCCTCAATGATGAAGTTCAAGTAATTCCTGTCAACGGCAGAGCAAACAAATCCAATTAGTAAGTGTCCCTCCTCGGAGCTCGGAGCTCGATGTCCCGCGTAATCCTCTTACCATCCGTTGTAGGCAAACAGGCCGGAGTAGAAGGACAGGGCGATGGAGGTCACTTTGGTGTCCGTGTTCTCGAACGTAAAGTACTGCACATTGCCGAGATAGAGCTGGTAGATGCCAGTGGCAATGATGATGAACAGGGCCAGCAGCTGAAAGAGGGAACAGGGAGTGAGCCTCCGCCCGGGAAAGCCAACCCGATCCAATCTATCTGACTTACTTTGGCATATGTGAAGATATCCTGCACAGCGGTGGCCCATTTGACGTCCCAGCAGTTGATTAGGGTCAGCACGACTGCACAGTAAATGGAGAACAGAACGCGAATTGAGAAGGCCGCTTAACCCACATTCGAGCCCCATCACGACTTCGGAGTCACGCCGAAGATATAAGTCCGGGATGCGAACGACCCATGTGGGTGATGTAATAACGCGAGGACTTTCATGTGACGATGTGACAACTCGTTATTTATTGCCCGCCATTGTCTCACGCGAACGCACTTGATTCCGCACAATTAAATCGGAATTAATACTAGCAAAAAAGTAAATAACTCCGACTATCAACAAGTGCCTTTGGGCAGTGGAAACTATAAACTTTGGGAAGTGAATTTCCATTTAAATAATACTATATGACATTTGGCATTCCCGGAGAGTTCTTCTCGAACTTCATCAGCTTATTTTGCAATAAATTAAACTTTTTCGATTTAACTTGTTATTTAAGTGCTTCGATAAATACCAAACATCGGAACGAAAATTAAGCATTGCAACTCATGTTAGTGCGATAAATATCACGAATGTGATTACTACTTTTCCCCTCTAAACTGGCGTTTTTATTCGGTCCAATCTGGACTTGTTTCCAAGCTAAAATCAAAACAAAACGAGCGCACTCCTCCCCTGCGAATCATCTGGCACACTGATAAGCGCTGCTGGCAAACTCTTCCAGCGTGCTTATTTGCCCACCACTCGGGGGTGCATTTGAATTGCTTCTAATCTATAGGTCAAGTACGCGAGTGCAGAGATTGCGTTTGGGGGAGGTTCTTCCGCCCCCTCTGATAATCAGGCAATGTATTTAGCCTGCGGAACTCACGTATGCAGCAGACGGCGAGGAGGCGGGCCGAGTCCTCCGGCGGGGAGCACTCCGGGAAGAAGGGCTTCAGGACGTAGGTGCTGAAGGTGAGGGCCACGATGGCCTGCGAGCAGGGCCGCACGATCATGCACTCGATCCAGAGTCGGATGAAGGCCATGAAGGGTCCGAAGGTCTCCATGATATACGCGTAGTCTGCGCCCGACTTCGTGATCATCGTGCCCAGCTCCGCGTAGCAATAGGCACCCACCTGGAAGCAAAAAACGTTTAGACCGGGCAAGCGAAGTCATCCAACTCCTTTTGAGCTTCAAAATGTTTGGCAAATGCTTGGATTTCCTTTGACGAAAAAGCCTTCAAGACCTTTAAAAATACTTCGTCCTGTCGATTCTTTTCATTTCCAATCCCGAGCTACTTGAAAGTCTTGAGCGAAGACGCAATCGTTGTCATCTGTCAGAGCCACTGCTGCGTATACGTAATTTTATTGAACTGAAGCCGCAGCTCGTGCGTTTGACACGGACTTGACATGTTTGTGTGCGTGCTTCTGAGAGTGTGTGTGTGCGGGGGTGCGTGGGTGGTCGGGCGGTTGAATTGGGTGCAGGAATTTCAATAATTTCATTAAGCGACGCAGTGGCACTCTAGCAGCATTCGTAATTGAATGGGAAAGTCCTCTCCCTGCTCCCCCCATCCGCTAACCCACTTTCCCAGCCAAGCTGTTGTTCACCAGATGGTTTTCACCACCTGGAGCGACGGCAACAGGTGTCTAGGTTACGGAACGCCCTGCTCCATTTGCATATCAGGTTATTCTGATTAACGGGCTCACACTCACCATCGAGAAGAGTCCGGAAATGACCCAGACGATGAGGGCCAAGTTGACGCTGCCCGTGTACATCAGCACTCCCGTGGGCGACACGAAGATGCCCGACCCGATGATGGAGCCCACGATGACGGTGCAGCCGTTGAGCAGGCTCATCTTGGCCTTCAGGGTCACCTCACCTCCGCCGCCCCCATCGCCACCCTCCGCCTCCCCGTTGGTCAGCTTGGCGGAGGCGTCTCCGTTCCCGTTCACGATGGAACTCTTCCTGGAGGAGTTCTTCCGGTTCAGCGACTCCGTTTCCATGCTGTCAGCACTGGCGATGGTCTTTCAGGAGATTCCTGGAAACGATAGGTCAACAGTCACCAAGTAAGTAAACAATATATTTATATTTGTTCAGTTTATTAATGCAGCATAGAACTTAATTCATACAGAGGTTTCCGTTTGGCCCATAAGCTGTCAGTTTCGTTCGACACCTTTGACCTTTAACAGAATCTAGCCCCCATTGATTAATTACATAACATTGTTTACACTGTATGGTTTTATAGTCCCATAAATTACACGTGTTTAGTTGATCCCAAGGCTATTTATAGAGAATCTTTTTAGCTTAGTACGTATTTAAGCAAACTTCTGAAAAGAAAAAGTATTTTCCCTGGATTCGCGTATCTCGCAGTTAATGAACTCGCTTTTTTAATGGTGCTAATTATTCATTCGTCTCGGGAGAGGAACTTTGCGTTCCTGCCATTGACATTGAAAAATGGCGTACTAATTAGGAAATCCAATCTCAAATATTAGGTTCTATATTATGTGCTAAGCAATGTTGTCTGGGGTTTAACATATAGTATGTCTCAATTTTATGCTTTGCGAATGTTAGCCGCCGTTTCGTAATCTCAGCTTGTCAATTTCGAAAGAAGGTGAGGCCCCGATTTCTGGTTCTCCCTTTCGCGATCCCCGTCCCTTCACTTGAGCGAAAGGTAATTAAAGGTCAACGGCTGAGCTGAAGTAAAAAGTTTGCTCTACTTTTACCTGTACTTTATTGTATATATGCGTCGTTGTTTTGGGCAAAAGCTTTTAACGTATTATATGCACAGGAAAAAAAGTGGCGTGGTGATAAATCTCATTGAACTTGTAAGTTATAATTTAATGTTATAAAAAGTATACGTTGGCAGAGATTTATTACATGGCGGACAATTTGAGGCTTCGTTGAGTGGAATTTTTCTACAATCGGGCGTGACTTTATTATCTCCAATGCGCGTCGATGAGGAAGCATTGGACTTGGCATTTAAAATTCGGACTGGAGTTCGTTAAACCCGCGAAATTGTTTTTTGTAATTCCTTTCGGTGTAAAAGCCTGACAGAGCCCGAAGATTGATTGATAAGCCTCCGAGGAACGCACGTGCGGACCTACTATATGAACCCGACACAAAGCCAAGGAAGTGGATCCCCCGCCACGCCCACCTATGGGATTAGGTCACGCCGATTGTTTACTTTAGCATTCGGTGGGAACAAAAAAGGGGAAAGGGGCCGGTGGGGACTTCCTCAAAGCGAAAGCAGTGGACCCACGCTCGCATAAATTAGCATACCATCAGAAGGCGAGAACAACAAAAGCAAAAGCGGTGTGTGATTCGGTTATGGAATAACTGGTAGAACGGCACAAGCAAAACAAACAGGTGAACAAACCAATAAACACCAGATCTATAACTCGGAGACCCTCGACCGCTAATTGGGCATTTGGCCATCTGATGTTCTTGGCTTAACAGTTGGCCAGCCAAGCCGAACGGAGTGAAAACGGCCGAACAAGATCCATTTTCCAATTGCTCCAGATTTCGCCTGATGCAATAGCGGAGTAGACAAATCGGCATTCGGGGTATTCCGCTAAATGAGTGCGGAATTCAGGTGAAAATTAAGGGGGAAATAGCGAAACTACATCTGTGGAATTCACAATGCAACTCGGTTTGCATCACGCTTAGTCACTGCCTCCACGGGGCTCTTTTTTCGTGTGAAAGGCATTGTCATTAGCTCACTCCGAGGCAATTAGCTCTTTCACTCCGGCACCACCGCTTACTTGACCCAATTTGTGCATAAATCCAGATACAAAACGCCGAAAATGGTGTTCGTGTGCACCTGGGGCGTAAACAAAAACACATCACCACGAAGAACCAAGTCCATTAATTTTTGTATAGAAAACAAAACGCTTTGTGTAGTCCGCATAAATCACTGTACTGGCTATCAGTTTCGAGGCAAGTGCTTAATATACGCATAGTTGGCTTGGGCTATCATCTAATTGAAGCTAATTGTGGAAAAATTAGATTTTTTGCTGCAAAATATTACTGATATCATCCAACAAACAAAATTGGAACAAAATAATAGGGAGTTACTTTCAGGCGGAAGCGAAAAAACAAATTCATTAGGAAAATCTCATTAATGGTAAATGGATTAAAATGTGTTGTTAAAACTCAATTCAACTAAATCTAGATTCCTCTGGTCCCAGCTCATTCTGAATTCCGGACTCATAAGTGTTTTCCTTGCACTGATTTCATTATCACCAGCCACATCTCAATCAACTAATTCTTATCAGGGGCTCTTAGGAATTTCGTTTTATTCACAAAAACCAAAATTAGAGGAACCGGCTTGAGTCGCATGTCGATTATCAACAGGTCCGAGTAAGTCGTTCATTTAAACCAATTCTAAATTTATACTTTAAACAGAAATTGAGCATTTCGGGTATGTTGTATATAAAACAGCTCTGCACACATAAATTGTTTTCGCTAGCGTTTTTATGAGTTGCCGAAATCGCCTCATGCGTTTTAATTAAAATTTGTCTTTCACCGCTGCTGTCGTACCGATTGTTCTCTTATTTTATTAACACTTTTTAATGCTGTGGTTTTTTATTGTTTGCGTTCTTGAAGTTTATCCCAAAACACAAGTGTTGCGCACGCAGCGCAAACATTTTTTATCTGCCTGAACCGTTTGCCATTTGACTAATGCTGAGCACTGCGTACTTAAGAGGCGATTAGGAGGGCTGAGCACCTTTCCCGGTTAACTTAAGGCTCTGCTAACTGATATTTCTAGTTACTAACAAGTTGCTCCGGAGAACTAGAACCGCACGCAGTCAGCGGGTACAGCAAACTGACGGCCACCGGCGACTCGACTCCGCTCCGAGGCATCTTCGCTCCGGAAATCTCAGCCACAGGTTAATCGGGTTCGGCACTGGTCGGCTGTGGGTAATCTCCTACACTCAGAGGCCGAAATATGGGATCCCTCACGGAGCTAAAGTGAAGTTTTCACGAGCTCTTGTACTTCTTGTCCTTCTAGGGATGCAGAACTTATAAATACTTACAATTACAAATACATTTTTAATACTTTTAAGTAAACATTTAGTTATCTTTAAAAAAGTTTGGTTTTAAAGTAAGGCGTAGGAATTGTTTATTCATTAATGAATTACTACTTAGATAAAAATGACTAGCATTTCCTGAAAAGTGCCTAAAGCCCAGTTCTGCGCTACTTCGAACGTGTTCGATGTTCGTTTGAGAGGCTCGCTTGTTTCTAACCGGCATTCTGTGTTTTTGAATCTGTAATTTCCCCGAAACAAGTTTTTGACGCGGCGCTTTGTTTGCTCCCGTGATCGTGGTTGTCGGACTCGTACCTTTTGTTTTTCGGCTTTCGACGGAGATTTGGAGGTTGCCGAAAAAGGTTCTCATTCTTGTGTTCTTGTGTTTGCCAGACGGGCGGGAAATGGTACATGCTGGCTTTTATCTAACAGATACACAGGGACAAGCTCAAGAGCAAGTCTAATTTAGTTGAGGGTTTTCTGCTTGTTTGCCGAGTGGTAACAACCTCCGGGTGTTGAAGTACTTGGAGCTGCTCTGTTGAGGTACGAAAGTATCTTGTGCGCACAACAATAATTGCCGTGTGTCTTTCTTCGGTCACACGAATGTGTGTAGACAGTCGGCTGGACATGCAAATTATACACCAGACGCTCTGATTTTCGCGCGCATATTCAAATCTATTCCTGCCCACTTGCTCCGATCTATAATTGAATATATCCGCACCGGAGACTTTGCTGCATCCACACACAAATGTCTTTATTCAAAGCCGTCGCCGCAATTTGTCGCCAGCTGAATGGCAACACAATGGCGACGCCTCTGCAATTTCTCTGTTGAATTTACTTAAATAACTTGTATTACCGAGAGAATGTTTGCTGTCTTTCATCGTTACTTCAACATGAATTTCGCTTCGGGCCATTCGAGTTTATTGACCAAAGGTACATAGCCAGGGGTCCGGCGTTTGATGATTGGACTGCCGATTGTTTCGATCAGTTCCGAGGCCGGTTCTCGGTTCCCAAACTGCTAAGTGCCCGTCATCGAGTTGCTTAATCTCCCCTTTATTAGCAATTTGTGTATATAATCCCGAATTAACGACAATTGGGACGTCACAGCGGCCGGTTAGGAGGTATTTCTCTGTGCGATCATCCTATTAAGTGAAATCTCCACTCTTGTGACCTGACTTGTTAGTCAATTGATTGATATGTTTTATGTTCGCTTCGTAAGCATGCTTCTATTTTACTTTGCTAGAATGCGAAACGTCACAGCTTAAAGCCCAACTTTGCTGCCTGAGAACAACGCAGCTTATTTCGCAGTCAGGAAAGGTATCATATAAATATGTGAAAACAACTCATTACAAACCAAACTGTTTTTTAAGTGAATTTCACAGGGTAGAATGCAAATCACGCTTGCGTATTGAAATTGTGTACTTAATTCTTAATCTCCGACATCTGTTTGATTTGACAAATGGCGGGTTTCAGGCTCGGCAAACAATTTAAGCGCTTTCATTAAATTAATTTTGTGATGCATCGCGCAACTGCCAATAAATTTTGGGATCTCCCTCAAGGCCAAGGGTTTGTTTCGCCTCGTGGGGCTTTGAACTGGTCGAAGTGAGGACGAAGAGTGGGGCATTTGGTACTGGCTCAACAAGCGTGCCAATACCCAATAAGTTGGGGAAACACACCTTCCCAGGAAAGGTGGTTCGTGGGTATTATCTTACCACCGCCGAACGACGCACATTAATTTAGAGATCGACTCTAAGCCAAGTACTTACCGACGTGGCTGGCATTTCAACTACTATCTCACGTTTCGTGACGTTTCTGAGCAAATCTCGGGCGGACATTGCATCAGACTCTTTCCGATAAATAGGTAGTATCTGATTAACCACGGAAAACGGCGCCAAAGTGTCTGGCAAAGCTTTCGGAAGCTGTTAGCGTGGGTGGGCGGTTTGTGACGTCAGGAATATGTATTTGTGACGTGCTGGCCAAAAATAGCCCACAAAGGGCATGCGAAAGACAAAGTGTCATGGATTCTGGCATACTTACACACAAATTATAATTGATTTTTTGCTTGGCTTGCTGACCACTTTTGTTCTCTGCGCACTTTGAGTTAAAACGGGCTAGTTCCAAACATTTTCAGACCTTATCAGATAAAGTTTTGTGAAAGTAAAGCAATTGTTTTTTCTTTTAACTAACGTCGTTTGCTTTGAGGAAATATGTGTAAGACCCGTTTGGCTTTCGTGGCCACAGCTCGCGTTCTACTGACGGGCAGTTCGTGCTTACAGCATCGCAGAAAGCGAGAGAGCAATCCGCAGAGTAGGTATTCCATTCCCGAAACAACTCTTCGGTAGGGGGAACTCGAGAGCAGGAGCCTTGGCCCTCGGCAGACCACGTTTTGGAACCTTTCGCGAACTGCAAATTACCTACTTCGCGGCCGAGGGAAACACACAACCCCCGGCGTTCATCAAGGGTTCTTGGCGGCTTGGTCATGGGCAGGGCCCTCAAATTATGCCAGGCACTCGAGCTGCTTGGATTTTTCTCTGGTCTTTTTGCCCAAAACGTCTGCTCACGTTTGCGGCGATTCAAATGCCTTTGTTGCCCGCGCATAAATTTCGGCTTCGCACAACGAATTCTGAGTTGCTGCTCTCTGGGAATTTCTCATTTTGTTTCTTGTACTCAGGGTCAGCGCGGTCCTGCTGCGCATGTCCTGCGAAAGCTTTTGAGCTTAAGTGTCGTGGGATATTCAAAAACGATTTTGAAAAGCCAGTGTATCTTGTATATGGGTTTTGGCACAGATAAGATAATATATGTATTATATTTTTTAATATGTATATAAACGTGCAGCTAAGCCACAGCCAAATAAAAAAGAGGATATGTTGGCTCAGAATGTCTACATTAAGTATTTGAATACGCATCAGATTATTTACAAGTGAGGACTCTTACCTACCTGATGGTTGGTGAATTCGGTAAGCAATACTTTACCTATCTGAGACTTGAACCCTTTTCTATGTTTTTACGTCTTTACGTTGAGTGAGTCGTATTTTTGCAGCCACAACATTTTCGCTTAACTTACATTACAAAAAGCTAGATTCAATAAACATATTTATCTATATATTTATCTATATATATTTTTTTTTGATGAGATATTTCTTTGGGAATTTCTTGGTTCAGAATACATATTTCCCAGCGTCTTTTTAATCCTTTTCATACGCATCTCGTTATGGTTCTTTTCCCTCCAGGGCTTTCAGCTATTTGTAAATAACATATCGTGTAAATCCGGTGGAATTTGGCACATGTGTTGCATCCGGGAGCACAATGCAGCCCGGCGGGAGAGTCCCTCAAATCCCGCCCAGATTCAGCCACCGGCAAAGGTGTGTGTTGACAAGGCCAAAAGCGGAAGGTGGTGTGCGAGTGTGCGAACCTCGGCCATGTGTGCGGTGTGCGCCAGCAACTTTGATCCAGCTGCGAACTGTTCATGCGTGGAAGCTGCATTGTTTGGTGCTTAAAAGCGATTGCCGCTGCCACATAAATGCACTTGCCACCGCGCCCCCGTTGCGTATACGTAGTTGCAACACGCATACGCACTGTTGCACCGCCATAAAGGCTGTCTCCCCATTCCCATCTGCCTCTGCCGCCCCAACCGCCCCCACTGCCCCCACTGCACTTGCTTATTAGTTTGTTTTGCAGGAGGGTAAAATCAATCAATGGCCTCACCTGCCGCCTATCACCCGCCATCAAACACAATTTGATGGCATCAAAGCTTCGTTTGTGTGCCTAGCCCACGGACAGGATGCCGAGCAGGCAGGATATGAACGGACAGCGGATGGGGGACGGGGGCGGGGGCGGGGACAGAGGACGCAGGACGCAGGACTGCAAACTACGGACTGTCCATCGAGGACAGCGGCGCATATTTTGCCACATGACAGTTTGCTTTCGCATCTATGTCATGGCTGTGTCTGCGTTTTTTGCGCCGCTTTTGATCCTTACGTGACTGCGACAATTGTCGCCTGGCACCTGTATCATCACAGTCCTGGAAAAGTGGAGATGCACTCACAAAAACGTAAGACTAAATTGAACTCAGTATTTTAACTTTATTACATTCAAGAACATATATTGGTTTATTTATAAACATGGTTGAAAGTGTGCGACGTTTTCATTGTGTCAGATGTACTTGAAAATTTTGATTTGAGACATTTTTTTTCAATTTTTCTAAATGTAATCTTTCCTATCTGGACAATGGCACCGCTTTTTGTCATTTTGCGTTGGCGGCAAAGTTTTCCCGGCACTACACCACGTTTGCAAATGCAAATTCAAATGCTCGATTACAGTTGGCTAGAAAAAACTCATATGCATTTGCTTATCGCTTCGTGCCTGAGCAAATTTTGAATATTTTCCAGCAATGCTGATCAATGAAGTGCGCACTTTTTGCCGCCTCGGTGGGTAAAACGAGTTCTAAGCTACTTACTACCCGAAGTCCTGTCTCGAATTGCGATAAATGTTTGGCAGACGCAGAGAATAGTACGTATACGTATACGTATACGTATTTCCTTGACGATGGGAATGGCGTTCCTCCACCTGCAAATTTATGCACTTTCTGACCAAGAGAGCCAGGGACTCTGGAGAAAATGAAGTGCAAAGCTGCTTTTGAAAAGCCTGGAACTCAGGACTCAGATGGCGGGCAGTTATGCAAAGTGCTGCCAGCTGTCGGATTATGATGATTTTCATGGACCGAAATCAATTTGGGGAAGGCATTTCGCAAATGAACATTGGCTGGCGCACAATCAAAACTTTACTAATTACGAAAACTTGCCGAAAAATCTTCTTAATACAATAAGTGCGACAATGCCCAGTCGCTCCTTCTGCCGGGATCCTCGAACCCAGCCAGCAAACAAAGAAACAGGCAAGTGAGAAATTAACTTGCGTTTTCAATTACCAAAGAGTCTAAGGAGCCAGGACAAGCTGACAGGCATCAAAATCAAAGGATGTGGAGCACAGACGCCGTCTGCTGACAATGCGAAAATGCAAAGAGCAAAAGCACTTGAAGCTCACAATATTGAAAGCGGGAAACTCCGGGGAAATGGAAAACGGGAAACAGAGAGCTGACTGGCGACAGCAGCCATTCTGCCACTGGTTGTATTTTTCATGAGAATGGCCAAGTGCAAAACTTGGTAGAGCGCTGAATTACGCTCGAGCTGTCACTATTTAGGCTCCTAAAACTGTTTAAGAAAGTGTATTGGAAGCTTTTGCCTGCTTTCCAGACATCAATCCTTTTCCATATTTGATCTGGACTCTTTGCGCCACTCACCTGAATTTGCTCTTTATCCCCGCTTTTACTTATGTTGTTTACTTTCTTTGCTCCTCTGCAGCAATTTGCATATCCATTTCTGAGTCCGATTCGGGATTTGCATATCCACTCCCCCGACTCCTTTCTCCATGATATCTTTCACTTCGCCGAACAATTTATTCTTCCCTTTCAGTTTTAATTATCTGAAAGTTGTTTGATCTGTATCGAATACTTCTGCCACATTTGGATTAGTTTTCCTACCCCATTTCCCAGGGACTCCGCCCTGAGGTGGCACAATTTTCCGACCGCCAGGGAGCGTTTTCCATTTGCCACAATCATTCATGTTTTTTAATTTATTTAAAGACGTGAGCGGGATGGTTGTGGCTGGTTGTCTGGCGACATCAAAAAGCCAGTCGCCATTTGACACTCGCGCCTTGAAAGGATAAAGTTTATAATTTCATAGACTTTGCAGCTCCTTGGCGACTTCTCCCGCCCCTTTTCCGGGACGGCGTCTTGAATTTATGCGCTGAATTAATTATGCACGTACGGAGTACGGAGTCGGAGGATCCCGACTCCCGGCACTCCGGACTTCCTCGGCGGCTCCTCTGTTTGTCTGGTTAGTTTGTTTTCGGCGGCGTTGACGGCGCATTTAAAATAATTGCTTGGCGCTGGAAAAAGTGAAGCTTTGCGATTCGTGTGAAAAGTTTGCACTGCGCTCGCGGCATAAGCTCATAATGGATTTGTTGGCGGGCTTGTTGCGTTTTTTGCACTCGCCGCACAGTTTTGGCTTTCGAGCTTGCGGGTTGTGGCAAGAAGTTAAGTGGGATAAGAAGGCAGCCGTAATTGGGTGCGCCTGCGATGAGCTAATGTAAGTTATGGATAGTTGTGAGTTTGGGTGACAGCACTAGGAAGTATTAAAAAGATAGATCACAAAAAATTACGAAACTGTTTCAGCTGTGTCGCATTTTGACCATTTCTTTGCCATAAATTGAGAAATTCAACTGCAATTACTGAATGCCATGCCTCGTTTAGCAAAGTAAAGCAATTCCCAATCTATTGGGAATTGACATTATTTGTTTGACCTCAAAATCGAAAAAATATGCAGTGTTACCCCTTTAATAAATCATTAAAATCGAAAAAAAAATCGCCAAAAAAAAAAATTTCTAATGATGCTGTTGTTGATGATCTTGGTTAAAGAATCAAAATATAACCTTTAGAAGGTATGCCACTTTAAAGTCGGACTAAAATTTTAAAAGTTATGGTGTGTATAGTGAATTAGGGAATTAGTGAATTTTGGTAAATTTTCAGCGAATTGTTATTGATAGATTCCCAGCTATTCAAAATGGTGTTTCTTTTATCTGTTTGTCTGAGTTCGGTCATCCTAAACTGGTAAACCATTATAAGTACCCATATCATTAAGTATCTACTCGAAAGTGCTTTACCCATATATTATATAAATCGAAAACGAGAATAGTTTCAGTTGGCAGCTTAATTAGTTGATTGATCCGGAGGTGGGTGCAGTGTCGATACGTCTACCTCGCGCATCATTAGCATCCCAGCCGAGAGTCTGCTTTTCAGGGGGAGCCATTGAATCAAGGCTTTGATACTTCCTGGTGCTAGGGTGCTGGAATTCGCTCACTTCCGCCGGCTTCCCAGAGAACCCGAACCGCCCACGCAAAGTCCCGAAAACCCCTGAAAACCCCTGAAACCCCTGAAAACCCGTGGAAGTGCTCGCTCCCTCCCTGCCAACTGTCTCGGCTATTTACGCCAGCGGCATAACGTTGAAAGCAAATTGATATCATGTGGATTTGGCTTTCACTTTGTGGAATCAATAGGCGAAATCCTTTTGGCAGGGCCTGGCACAGACACACTCTGCCACACACTCCGTGTGTATCTGCTGCCACTCGAGTTAAGCCAAGGATAATGATTATGTTGCGCAACGACTCCGGAGGAGGGAAAGCTTTGCATAGCTTTTCCGGGCGGACGGCAGGGGGAGCGGGAGGGGGAGGGGGATTTTGTAATCGACAGACAATCGACGTGAACAACATAATGGATATCGAACTCGAACCGAGACAGTAGCCCACAGCCCCGAAAGCGTACTTCAAGGCATTGCAACTAATTGGCTTTCCTTCGCCGAGGAGCTCTGGGGTCCTCGACCGCAGGGAATGGCCACTCCTGTTTGTCTTCTATGCCACTTGATTGGAAAATCAAACTAATTAAAAGATTTCAATTAAACGCCGAGCTGGGAATGCCGTCCCTCGCCCGACTGCTCAGCCACAGTAATTCCATTAAAATGGCAAATCAATTTCAATAAATTTCATTCAAAGGTGGAACGCAATTGCAACGGCAGCTCGCAAGCTCCGTCGCTGTAGCGACATCATAAAACTGTTTACATGCTGACAAATCTGTTAATTGAATCGCAAATCCAATTAAAACTTCGATTTTCTATCCCCAGAACTTTGAGCAGCAAAAGTTCAAGTGCATAAATGGCCAACATGTGGCCACGTCCTGGACACTCGCTTTTGTGTCGAAACTTTTCGCAGATTGTCGCCCTCGAAGCCCGGGCCCCTGCCTTTGCGTGTAAATTCAATAACAAATTTATGCGTTTGTTTAGTTGAACTGCATTAAAGCGTACAATTTCCTAATTAGCCCGTCTGCCGTTTACACGGGCCCGAGCTCGCCGCCCTCCCGCTGGCATTTCGCATTCCTGCACGCAAAAATAGTCAAAGCGAAACCACAAGCTGCGCATAACTAACTCAACTGCTTTATTTGGACAAACCGCAGCCGCAGCTTCCCTCTGCCCAAACGATTCGGGCCAGGACAGCAGACCATCGTGCTGTCGAAAAATAGCAACATATACAATTTCAAATGCAGCCAGAGATGAGCAGGTTCAATTTGGCAAACCAGGATTATCGTGGAACTGATGGGAGTAGCACTACAGAAGAAAACATTTTGAACCTCCGAAAGAAATTGGGAACAAAAAATAAGGTACATAATTAACGCTTCTTTTTATACATAAATAATTTTAAATTAAATATAGTAAGTAAAGTATATGCCCAACAATGAGTGCAGCTCTGGCGGCTCATTTGGGCCGTTCCGGTTTGTTTCGTTTGGGGTCCCTCGGATTGGGGTTAGTTTCCGTGGAGCGCCGTGTGGAGCCCATTAAAAGTGCATTTAGTGAGAATTTATCTGGGCGCAGAAAGGTAGCAACCGCAGGCGCATTTTCCCATTTCGACTCCGGCCAGCTACAAGTGTGCGTGTCCGGAAACGGAAATAAAATAACTCTGGTTGCAATAGCAACAGGAAGTCGGGGGCCCCGCCATCTTCATCCCCGCATCCTGCTCTTGCCCTTCTGTCTGTTTGTGCGTCTGTCGGCCTGTTTGTTTGTTTGCTGGCCCGTTTGGCGTTGGTGCGAAGGTTTTACTGTTTATGCAAATGCCATGGCCCACGGATGCTTTAACCGAAAACACTTTAACCGCATTCACCTTGGGCGGCTGCTTGTTAGTGGCCATTGAGAGCAGAGCAGACAGCTCGCCCGGCCTGCGCCTCCATTCCGCTGCCCAAAAGGCCGTAAAATGCCTGCAAGTTACGGCATGTGCCCCTTGGCTGCTGTTCCCCAAAAATGTTTCATTGCTCTTCGAGGTCCTGCCGCCTCTTCACGGTTGCCTGGGCTTCTATTATGTAGCATATCGTAATCTCACTCGAGTCAAAGGTTCAGCTGCAGACACCCGAAACACCCGAAACAGCAGAACACGCCCGCTCCTCCCGCAAACACCCGAAACACCTTCGCAACAAGAACCCGCAGCTAACACTTTGTAAATAGTCATCGGCGTGTTTATTACTCAGTCGTGCCGGAGTGTCTGTCCTTCCGCCGCGGCCCTCTCCTTCCTCCGGAGTCCTGCTGCTCCTTCTGCTTCTGCTGCTGCCGCAGCCGTGGCCGTGTGGTCCTGCGGTTAGTTGCTAGTGTTGCCGGGTAATCGCTGTTGCGAAAGATTCCCAGCCAAGTGTGTGTGCGACGGTGTGCTTGACTTTTCGCTCAACGAAAGTACAGTTTAAACTTGGCACATTCCGAAAGGAACTTTCATTTGAAATCAGGAACTCGCTTTGAATGTTGTAACAATCAAAAAAACATTTTTAACTTTCTGTTATTTAATTTGCATTAGGAAATATTTAATTTCGCACTCAAAGATTAAGGTAATCATGCATTCGTTTGAAAATGTTGCATCGCCAAAGCAGCTAAGCAGCTAAAACGGTGAGTAATTGGTAACTGCCACTCAGAGGCACTAACTACACTCGGTCTCCGCTTTTTCCGGCCAGAATTTTCCCCTTGACGTCACAACGACTGGCAAAAACAAAACAAAACAAACAATTTCTCTCTCACGAAATTTATCGTTTGCATAAATTTGCTTTATTGCCCGGCTCCCAGTCGCTGTGTGTGTGTGAGTGTGTATGTGGGTGAGTTAGTGGCTGTGTATTTGTGTTGCCAACGGAAGTGTAACTTTCGCTTCCAGGCCAGACATGGCCAAAAACAACAACAACCATAGTGAGTTGAATGCGGCGAACAAAGTTTTCCATTATTCAATTTAACTAATGAAACTGAAAATTCATTTTACCACATTAACAAACACACACACACACACACAGACACAGAGGGAAAGAGGAGGGGAAAAGGACACCAGAGGACGAGGGCAGGAAATGTGACTCGCCTCCGGAAAAGACATGTGTGCGTGCTGGACTCCTGTTTTTGGTATTTGAACAGCCATAAAGCGCGGAAATTTATATTCCAGCGAACTCGGCAAGGACAATCGCGTAAAGGCGCCACCCTGTGTGTCGGCATTTAAATAATTAAGGATATTTTTAGCCTTCACATTCAAATGTCCATTTAAGGCTCCTCTTTCAGCCAGGGTCATATTTATACCAGAGCTATATGGTTCTGAAAGAAAGTTTTCTTCGCTTCTTAAGCTGCTTTAGCATTTTTAAATCATTTTTAAAGACTTTACATTTCGCATTAGATTTTTATTTATTTAATTGCTAATATCGCACTGGATGATTTCTGAAATCATAAGATATATAATTTTACTTCAATGACGACAAATTTTTGTGCTTTTATTGCTGTTGTGGCAATTCGGTTGGTTTATATCTTATGAGCGATCATCGCCTCACATGTGACCGTCTGCTTGGCTGGGCTCTGGGATTGGGAATACCAAAGGAGGAATACCGATCCGGCTAAGGCAAATTTAGTCCTCCTCCTCCTCGACGTCCTCGTCGTCGGAGGCCTCGTCCTCCATGTCGTCGCTGGTGTTGTTGCTGTCGGCGCTATTGAACCGCCCATCATCGTCGTCGTCGTCGTCGTCGTCGAACTCGTCCGCCGCGTCCTCGTCCAAGTTATCCTCGGCGTCCTCGTCGGCGGCCTCGCTCTCTCCGGAGTTCTCCTCATCCACGTTCAGGGTCTCCATTGGCACGGCTCCCACGGCGGCGTGGTCGCCGTTGCCGAGGTCGTGCCGCAGAAAAGGTGGCGGGGATCCTAGGATCTTGCCCGCGGCTTCCGGCGTCTTGGGAAACCCCTCGGCCGGCTTCGGTGGGACCGCCACTGCTGCCTCCGCCTTCCGGGGACTCTCCTCCCCGGCGGTGCTGCGGGCGCGGTGGCCGCCGGGCTCCCTGTTGGAGCCGGTGGCCTGGGGGCGCGGCTGCAGCAGCGGCATGGCGTCCGGCTCGATGCTCCGCTCGTACTCCGTGAAGTTGAAGAGCGGCGGCAGGCTGCGCCCGTTGGGCAGCTGCTGCAGCGGGTCGTGGCGCAGCTCGTCGAAGAAGGGGTGGGCGCAGCCCATCATGGGCGAGACGCGGGCGTTGGGCGAGTAGATGAGCATCTTGGAGACCAGGTCGATGGCCTCCGCCGGGGTGCGGATGCGGAACACCTTGGCCCAGGGGTGGGGCTTCAGCTGCGGCAGCTTGAACTGCTTGTAGTGGGGGTTCATGTCGTGCAGCTGCTCGGTGGTGGGCGTGCCCATGACCTTCACGATCTCCACTATCTGGTCCACGCCCGAGTCGCCGGGGAAGATGAGCTGGCCCAGGAGGAGCTCGGCCATCACGCAGCCGGCGCTCCAGATGTCGATCTTGGTCGAGTAGTCGGTGGCCCCGAAGATGAGCTCCGGGGCACGGTAGTAGCGCGAGCAGATGTACGAGACGTTCGGCTCCCCGGAGACGAGCTGCTTGGCGCTGCCGAAGTCGCAGAGCTTCAGCACGCCGGAGTCCGAGTCGAGGAGCATGTTCTGCGGCTTGATGTCCCGGTGGCAGAAGCCCAGGCTGTGCAGGTAGGCCATGCTGCGCAGCAGCTGGTACATGTAGAGCCGCACGAAGTTCACGGGGAGCGTCTGCTTGGCCCGCGCGTACTGGCGCTCCACCTTGTAGAGCGTCTCCGGGAGGAACTCCATCACCAGGTTGAGGTAGACCTCGTCCCGCTTCTCGCCGCTCGAGTAGAAGAACCACTTGAGCGTGATGATGTTGTCGTGGCGCAGCTTGCGCATGATCTGCAGCTCGCGGTTCTTGAAGCGGCGGTCCTGCAGCACCTTCTTGATGGCCACCGCCTCGTTGCTGGGCACCATCTTGGCCTGGAAGACGACCCCGAAGCTGCCGTTGCCCACCACCTTGGCGTCCGTGTAGCTGATCTCGCTCATCACGTCCGGGCCGTAGGCGTTGGTGGCCACCACGGTGGTCACCTTGTTGCTCAGTCCGTTGCTCCTGCTCTGCGAAGCCATCCTAGTTCGTCGCTCTGTGCTCGACTATCCTCGAGCTCTCATCAAAAACAGGCAGCGGGGATTCAGTGTGTAGAACGGGCTGACGAACGAAGTGGAACGTAAACGTGTGTGTGGGGCAGGCGTACTTGATTTGATTTGTTCTCGGCGCTGACGGATCTGAGTTTGCTTCCAGGGCAGCTGAGATCCAGGTCGATTGCACATTTCAAGGTGTGCTCTACATATACTTACCTGCCTTTATTGTTGGCTACTTTTGTTCAATGCGAAACCCGCAGAGTTGCCGGACTTGTACAAAAAGTATCTAGAACACAAAACAGATGTGAGGTGCCACACATACAATTCATTTTTAAACCCCTTGCTTAAAGCCCCACCAAAATGCTCCGCTCAGTCTAAATGGCAGTCGTAATCGTGTCCGAGGAGCAACTTAGTATTTAACAGCCCTCCCACCCATAACAACCAACAATAGTGGAAAGTGATTCCTCAGCTCCTGAGCTCAGGACCACTCGAGCTGAACTTATGCAAGGCCATTCATAATTCGTGAGGGCCCTCCTTTGTCTGCGTAAGTTGGCTAATTTCGCAGGACCCTTTGCATTGTTGTCCACGACTCGACTTTCGACTCGAAACTTGCGCTGGCGTCTTTGTCTTCTGGCATCTCGCCTGCTTATCGCTCGGCTTCGGCCAACTTGACGTGGCCCTGCCCGTCTCGGCCATCCTGTCCACTTCCTTATCAAAGGACTATGCTCTTTACAGCTTCCTCTCCTTTGCAGCTGAAGTGCCCCGGGGAGGAGTTTTTATGGGCGAGATAGCCCAGATGGAGCCCCCAGAAGGAGTAGGGAATAAGGAATAAGACGTGCTTTGTTAATGTTTGTATAAAATGTCGTTGCAGTTTATTTTTACTCGTAGTTTTATTGTATATATTAGATATATATAAAAGTGACACACTCATGGTAAAATCTTGTTAGAGACATTTAATCGTATATATTTAAGTTTCGCTTCGATTGCAGTTTACACCAATATGCAGTAGATTGTAAATGTGTTAATCGATAATATTCATATGCATTCCGTATTCGTTCCTACTCGTAGCTCTAGTTGACCGCACAAATCGGTGAGTAATGTGCGTTGATGGATAACCGAGGGGTATTTACACAATTCAGGGGTCAGCGAAGTAGGCAGAGGTCAACCACCGGACGGACGGACTTAAATTAGTTGCGAATGATTAAACTAGGCTAAATGGGCTTAACGTATATGGTCGAAAGTGGCTCGCTTACGTAAATATTATTGAAACTGTGGACGTTGTTGGCATAAGTAAGTAAGTAGTTGGGCTACGGCTAGAGTGTCCTTTACGAATATATTTTATTTAAATTTAGATTTAGATTACATACACATATGGGCTTCTACATTTATTTGGCTTTCTCGTTGCTGCTGCTGATGCTGCTGCTGCTGGCTGCAGTAAAATTTAATTTTACATAACATAATCTTGTGTGCTCTCGTGTAAGGGGCATTATTTAAATGCGTATCAAATTGGTTCTTAGTAGTTAATAAAAACGTATATTTAATTTACTTCCAGGCGCACCAGACACACCACACACACACACACTCGCACACTCGCAGAGATACGGAGCACAACAATAAAATTTTATATTTATCGCCAACGATTTCCGGCCAGAGTCCTTTCTGTGACTGTGTGTGTGTGTGTGCCTGTGTGCGCCTGTTTTGTGCTGCCTACTTTTGGGGGCCTGGCTTTTCCTAAGTTTTCCGCGTTGTCTGGCTCGTGCGCATATTTTAATAAATTTTATGCCGCTGAAATGTGCGCCGCTTATCATTAACGCACAATTTATTTTGCTTTTATGCTTTTCGCTCTCCGCTTTTGTCCTACAGGCCTCCAAACGCTGTTGTTTATCTGTGAGATACATTTGCTTTTTGGCTTTTTGATTATTCGCGTCTTAAGATTACTGGGCTTCCTCCTCCTCTTCCGCGATGAAGTTTCCACCCGAACTTGCCTATGTACAGCATTATCTATTTACATGTCGGCGTAATGTGCATTTAATTTGCAAACGCAACGTGCTGGCGGAAAGTTCCGAGCCAACTTTCGTCCCGGCGGCTTTCAAATGTTGTTTATTGTTGCTCCTCCTTTGTTGACGCTGAGCCCGCATGTAGTTTCCATTTAACTTTCCACTTACATGTTGTGCGTGTTTGTTCTTTCCTAGAGCCAGGCCTGCTGCTGCTCGAAGAGCTGTTGCTGCTGCGAGAGCTGATGTTGCTGCTGTTGCTGCTGTTGCTGGTGTTGCTGCTGGGTTGTCTGATGTTGCTGCTGGGAGGGCTGGTGTTGTTGTTGTTGCTGCTGCTGGTGCTGCTGCTGCTTCTGCTGTTGCTGCAACCAAAGTTTGCAGAACGCAGTGGGCGGCGGGTTCGAGGGGCAGCTCACTCCTGCTGCAGGGGCATGGTCGGCGGGCTTTGGCTATTGCAAATTAAATTTAGCTAATTCTCACAACTCTGTGCTCATTTCGCTTACAATTGCGCTCTGCCGTTTGCATTGTAGTTTTGTAGTAGTTGCATTGCGAGGCATGGAAGTAAAGGGGCGAAAAGAGGGCGGGGGAGGGGAAGAAAGAGAAAGAGAGAGAGAAAATATTTGCATATGTTAGAAAAAGTTTGCTTGTTGATTCGATTTTCCCATTTAAGTTTTCTAGTGCTCGGTGATGTTAGTGTGGGTGAGGGTGTGAGTGTGAGTGTGGGTGTGGGCGACTGGTGTGAGTAAAGCTGGTTAGTTTGTTTCAGGGACTACAGTGCGTATGCGTTATGGTGCTCTTCAATTCGAAATAAATGTACAAAAACATAGTTCAAGTGCCGCCACGCAGTTTATGGCCGCTGTAAATCCAGTTTTATCGCCGCGGCTGCCACAAGTTGAATACTTTTTATCATTTCAGCTGGCGCCGCACCACAAATAATTACTTAATTTAATCATAAACCAAAAAGAAATCCTGGAAAAAAGTCTCTCCACATTATGTGTGGAAATGGGGTGAGTTCCTATACAGCCATTCATAAGCTTATCTCTCCGCCCTCGGGCAGAATGTGCGTCAAATTTACGATTGCCACTCGGGCACTTTCCCCATTTTCAGCACTTTTCCTTGCGCCTCCGTTTTCATTTTCGTTTCCTTCCAACTCGTTTCTGTGACAAAAATGCGTAAAGTTTTGCCTGACTCCCTTTGTTGCTGTTGGCGTGTGGCTCGGCTACAAGTCGCGATGGGCTCCAAATGGCCGAGTTCTGGGGGCCAAGGGGTTGCGAGGGGGGAGGGGTCTAATCTAAAACAAGAACTGTCGTTGTGCCAAGGTCGAGCAGGCAGACCCTTTGCGGATATACCCTTTCGAGCTCGGTGTTCCTTATTTCAACTCCACAAATGTTAAGGATCTTTCAAGGTATGTGAATTTTGCTACACATCTCCGATAAATTAAATATCACTTTCGTCGGTTGTAGGAGCCATAATACCTCGCAATAAAGTGGATGCTTATTTTAACAGGCTATCCTATTTCATTTATTAAATCCACTCTATTAATTTTTGATTTCATTCTCCTCAAATTCCCACTGAAAATCGCTGTACATATTGGATGGCCTCAAATATTTATCTTAATCAAATAAAGAGTAACCCGAGGCCCACGAGAACCCCGCAGGCCAGCCATTTTCCCTTTTAACTGTTTGTTATGCCTTTTTTTGTGCTTCTACAAAATGTTGTTTATTTGGCTCCAAAGTATTTCCACGATATGAAATGTTTGCCTAGCCCGTGTTGTTTTTTTCTACTGGCTGCTTTGTTGTTGCCAACATTGCGCCTTTTTGCTTTCATCGCTTATTTTTTGTGGGTTTATTTTTGTTTTGTGGCCTGTTGTTTTGTTGAAATTTGTATTTATGTGCGGGTCGGAGGCACAGAAGCATTGGCATCGGGGCATCGAGCCGGCAGAAATATCATTTACTCGGCTCGCCTTTTCCTGCCCCGAACATGCTTGTTTGCGTGTGTATGTGTGTGTGTGTGTGTGTGTGACTGTGGGTGTGTTTCATGTCCTATCATATTTTCATGTGCATGTGTGGGGCTTTTGTCTCGTGCGCTGAAAATTATGGATATTTTTAGCACTTTCGCTTGTTTTGTTTTCGCTTATCGGGTTTGAAGGTCATTTACTTGCAATTCCCAGCTGGCAATAAATGTCCCGGGCTCCACATCCATTTGGATATGCGAGTGCTGGCTGTTCGCTTGGCTGACTGGTTAATTTGTTGTGAAATTGTCATTTCGTTGCTTCAATGGCTGCGTGCAATGCGGCGTATGAGTAATATTTCTGCGCCAGCCATAGCATACTTTCTGGGGAGGCGGTAATGAAGGTCTCGGGCGGAGAGTGGCGGGCTTAAATTGACATGTTTAAAGTCAATTTGCCCGAAGTTTCGCCGTAAACAAACCCCAGCAGACTCCACCCCGGTGACATTAACCTATTCATTTGTAAATAGGCTGTCGAATTTCCTAGCTAACATAAATATTTGTGCGTTTTGTGCTGCCCTGCGAAGCGGAAAAACGTCGAGGAAAAACAGAAACAGGGGGAAAAGGCAGTCAAATCAAATGTAAATCCAGAACGAAAGCAAGAAGCAAGTGAAATTGAAATGAAAATGAATGCTTGCCGGGGAGGCTTTGCCATTCGCCATTCGCCATTCGCCATTCGCCATTGTCTTGCCCCCCAAGTCGATTGTTATCTTGGCCCAGAGGCAATTGAAAATTGGCAGCTGGGAGGTCCCGACATTTCCGCGTTGCGTGGGCCTAACGGGCACATTAATACATAATTTATAATGTTTTCGTTTCGCTTTGTTTTCGCACACTCAAGGAAGATGTTCGTGTATCTGTTTCGGGGTCTGGGTTCTGGGGATGGAGCCCTACAATTGCGGGCGCTGTTCAATAAAGTTTGACGTTAAACGGGGGTAGTAAACAGGGCAGCAAGACAAAGGGCATTCAACTCGTCATTCTGCCAACATCTCAAAGCTAGAACTTCAATGCAATTCGAAACAATAGCAGAGGCACACACAAATTGCAATTTGCATCAAAGGTGAAGTCACCTCTGTTGTTTGACTCTTATCATGCAGGTCGGATTGGTATTGGTTTTGGTTTCGGTATCGGTATCGGTATTATTCTTGTTAGCTACAGATAACAGAAACGGTTGTACCTACTCAACAACAGAAGAGGGGGAACCGAAAAGAGAACTGAAAATAAAAACTTACCGTCGACTACTTTGGATAATTGGCGAAAGGATTATCTCTAAGCTGGAGGAAATGTTTTGATTTTGCTGTAGGCTGGCAGAGGATGTTGCCGCTGTGCCGGTTGTTGCTGTTGCACCTGCAACCAAGGTTGCTGCCGTGCTGTTGCTGGTGGAGTTGGGAGGGGGGGTTCGCATTCGCATTCGCATTGGAGTGGCTACTGGTGGTGTGGCTACTCGGGTTCGGGTTCGGATTCAGATTCAGATTCGGATTCAGATTCAGATTCAGATTCGGATTCAGACTCGGATTCAGATTGAGGCTCGGATGCGTATTTGTATTTGCATTCAATGTGGGACAATTTAACGTTTGGCTGCCGCCGGTAATTGGCCCTAGTTGTTTCGCCTGCTGACCACTGTAGACATTCGCATTGCAATTATCGAAATTAATACTGCTCGCCGGCGCCTGGCGACTGCCGTTGTTGTTGACATTGCTGCCGCTGCCGCTGCCGCTGCTGCTGCTGCCACTGCTGTTGTTATTATTCGAGCTATTGTGACTGCCCGTGGGGGACATCAAAGGAGCATCGGCGTCAAACATGTCCTCTGCCTCGGCGGCCTCATCAGCCTCATCGGCCTCATCGGCCTCGTCGTCTTCGGAGTCCTCGGCCTCATCGTTGGTGGTCTGCGCCTCCATCTGCAGCGCCTCCAGGACGACCATGGCCTCGTCCTCCTCGCTGCAGGAGTGCGAGGAGTGCGTCTGCTCGGTTCGGGGCACACGCAAATCGAATCCAATTTGGGGTGGTTGGGGTTCGGGTTGGGAGGGGGTGAAAATATAAACAGGTTTAGCTTCTTGCAGGGACTCTAATCAGACACTATTGTCCAGTAGTTTAGCACAAACGGGGCATGCAGCTTACCATCTACTGTTTATCACAATATTAGGCCTACTAATTTAAGGTAACATTCAGGTATCAGGTATCATAATAATAATAACGGCAGACGCAAACACAAACACATGCTGTTTATCGACAGTTTCGACTGGGTAAATAATAGTTCAGATAGCAAAATATTGACTAAATCAACCGAATACGATTCGATACTATTTTAATTAATTTGCACACAGCTACAAAAACACCCATGCCCCCGGTTTATGAATTTATCATTAGGGCCGCGGGCCCTGCGCAATTTTAATTACACGCAAAACACTCGGAACAACAGGAATCAGCAATTCCAAATGCAAAATGCCGAATTCCGAATGCCGGGGCTGGTGGTAAGGCAACAAAAGCCCGCCGGCCAAACAGCTGACCACCGGAATCAAACCACGTGCACAGGTGGCCGGCAAAGGGCAGCTAAATGGGTTCTGGCCGGGGATTGGTTTCATTGGCGCAGAGGAACAGGGGAGCAGTGGAACGGGGGATCGGGGGGAAAACCCGTTCAAAATGCGCCACACGCCCTGCGGTTTTCCGTTGATTGCACAGCGGATAGCGACTCCTTCGCCGAGTCCCTGTTGTTCCGTGGCCAGTTAACTGGCCTTAAAGAGAACCCTGAACTCGCTTGAAAACTACAAGTTGCAAGCATTGTTTTCAGTTCGTGAAGTGAAGCTATTGATTGGCCATGCTTAGCTGGAAACTGTGACAGAATAACTTGGTTTTCCACTGACTCTCCTTGCACTTCAACTAATCAGCTAAAAATACAGATAAATAAAGCACTCCTCGGTGCATTTAAGCGTCGTATTAAGCCATTCAGGTGGCAGACATGTGCGGTAACTAATCGCATTGAAGCGACTTGCCTCTGTCTCTGTCTCTGGCCCAATACACTTAAAAGCTCATTCAATTTGGCCCAAGACACGTTCGCTCGAAGCCCGTTTGATGCCTTTATGATGGCGAGTTCTGGCCAAAAGTCAACACACAAGCACACATACACATGCGAGGCGGGAAAAGCAGGGAAATCAGGGGAAACGGCTGCCGGCCAGTGGATTCATTTGTAAATGAAATCAGAAAGGTGCACAAACACACTCGAATGCTCTGGGGTCGGAGGACGAGTGTCCTCCACTCACTTAAGCTTACGGCCTTTGTGTGCTGGCGGCTTATGCTTTTTGTAGCCGAGATACAAGTTTGCCGGAGAACACAAGTTTGTTTTGTATACACAAAGTTTGTTTGATTTTCTATTAATTAAAATTGCATTCAACTTGAAAATCGTATTTGTTGCCGCCGCAGGGGAGAAGTTTATCTCCTAGGCCTCGGCTCGCCTCGCCCACTTCCATTCAATAATGAACTTTGAATTGTAGCCTAATGGAACACGTACAAGATTGCATAAACAAACTTGAAGAGCGTTCGGCAAGCCAAGGAATTTAATTAATTTCCCCACTCGTGGGTGTGTGTGTATGTGTATCTTAATTGGGCAAACACGCCCCTGGCCAGCACACACACTTCCATACACACACACACGCTAATGCATCAAATTGTCTGGCATAAACGTGGCCCAGTGTCAAACGCCCCGTTCATTAACACGCGGCTCCCAGGAACAGGACGCGTCCAATGTCAGGGGCGTGGGAGGAGGGTCACCACCTCGTCTGGCAACTGTCGCCGCCAAGGATAATTACTACCTGCCTCGATCTATTTTTTCCACCCCGCCAACGGGCTTTCCCGGACATGCATAAAACATTTTAAATAAAAATGCATAAAAATATGCCATATGCCGCCGCAGGTCAGAAGACAAAGGGGCGCTTAGAGTCGGAAAAGCGCCGCTTCCCATTCGCATCCCCATCTAGTATTTTCAATTGCCTACACGATGAATAATTAAATCACACACGGGATGCAGCGCAAATAAAGGAGTATTTGTTTAAAGTTTCCCTTTGTTTCTCGCTTTTTGCATTTTCCGCACTATTTGACATGGAAAAATGTTTTCTGCCAATAAATCAATTGGCAATTCTATATTTTTTATGACCATGTTTTGTTTGCGCTTTTTTCAAGTTGCGGAATGCATTTCTGCATTCTGCTGCCGTCATTGTTTACTTCGGGCATTGTTTTCTAAATTTAAAATTTTATGCTGTTGATCGAAGCTGTCATAACGTTCGATTGCCTTTAACCTTTGCTGTTAAATCAGCTCGAAAAAATTGCGAAATTAAATAACATTTGGGAAAATATTTATTTAATTTAAATGCGAACTTCCAGTCACTGAACAACTTGCGCAATATGTCCTGCGTTCCCTGCCAGTAAAGCCTCGACTGCCAATAGGCAATCGCTTAAAGACCAATAAGTTTTTGCCTTTATTGTTTGCCAATTGTGTTAATCTAGCATTTGTTGGGATTTGGCCAAGTGTGGCGTGTTCCTCGGGGCCACTAAAATGGAAACAGCCCGGACAATGGATATAATAACAACTGCAGGCGTTTTACCAGGGACAAAGCCATCACTCGGTGTGTCCTTTGCCGCCGGCCGAACTGCTAACCCTTGAAACAACACAGCAAATGGCAGAGACAACAGCAATCGAAACTTTTGCCACATTAAATCAGTAAATTTATTGACTTAACTGCTTTCGGGGCGAGGACATCATGGCCCCTCTCCTCCCTTCCCATCCCTGCCACGCCCTCGTACGCCGCCCCTCGCTCCGGGGTTGTCAGCAGTGGCGTTTGTCTCTTGGCCGCTGGCTGCGCACTTTGCCACTTTGGCCTGGCCAAGATGGTGTCCCTGGTCCCTGAATCTTTTACACTCGGAAAAAAAGCCTATGATATAATCTTGCCATTAAAAAAATCACAATTATGTAGGTCGATCCAAATCCAAACAAATAGATATTCAAGATTCCAAACTAATTCTTGTTCTTGTTATATCTCGCTAAATAGTTTTTCCGAGCATCCTATGCTTTACATGTTTTTCCCAGTATAATTTCCTCAGCCGAAGAATCCCGTGCTTGGCATTTTCCTCGGCTGCCTTTGCCCCTTGCTGTGCTGTCATAATTTTTGATTTGCTTGTTTTATTTGATGTCTTTGCTGATGTCGTTGCTTTGGCTGCCATTTCGGGCGAAGTCGTCGCTTCTCGGCCCGCTCGCCCCACTAAGCTGCTTCCCAGCTTAGGAAAAACAATTTTGCAAAATTTATTTTATAGCAAAATTATGCCAAACATTTCGAAAATGTTTCTATGTACTCCCGTTGCCGTTTCCCCCGCCACTCGCCACTCGGGAAATGTATGTGGATACACACACATGCGTGTGACCCGGTCGAGAAAGCTGGAAGCTGGCCCAGAATTTATTTTAGAATCGCAAGTATTTCTGCTCTCGTGGCCCGACTTTGGCTGAAATTATTTGCCTGGACGGCCTGGAGGCGTGGCAAGAAGGACGAGGGGTCCTGTCGCTTATATAAACTTGGATAATGTAGCGCAAATAGTTGCTTATTATTTATTCTCCTTTATTGCAGGCGGCCTGTCTTGACTGGGTCTTTATGGCCTTTTGTTTTTCGGGTAATTTATTTGTGCCCCGCCAGGAATTAGTTGGAATATTTCAGATGTTAATTAGGCATGCGTGAAATTGGGCAAAGTTTCGCTTCGCTCAAGAGAGCGCGTAGCACACTTTTGAGTTGGGATATATGGGCATATGTCTGGCGAGATTCGCTTAACTATTCCGGAGAACTATTCCGTTCGGCTGCTCAAAGGCTGCTCCCGCTTTCCCACGCCCCTAATTTAAGTTAATTAAATTTCGCTGCAACCCGCAGCCGAGATAGCGGCAAGTTTACGTTTTTGCCTTCTTGATAAGCCGGCTGCCAAGTCCAAGTCCTTCGGGGGAGTGTGTGTGCGATAAGGATCCCGGGGGCAAGGACAGCCCTCGTCTGCTGTCTGTGTGCACAATGAGTCTTACGAAATAATCAACATAAAAGCTTCAGTTACTTATTACACTTGTGCAAATACGATGCACACTAGTCTCTAGCACTCTCTACGAATACGAACCGAAAATACAAAAGGAATGGAAAGGGGGAGGGGAAGGGGAAGGGTAAGGGGAGTCATGCCACATGAACACACAGGCCAAGTACTTTGGCCGGGATGCGATAACGCCGGTGAGATACGGATTCAATTAAGGCGCGGAACACAAACATGCAACACAATGGAGTGGCAAACGAGAGACAAGCTGCGCAAACTGAAGAGGAGGCGACATCAAAACCAACATTCAACATTCAACAATCAACGTTCAACGTTCAACAGCGACATGCGACAGGTTTCCCCGCGTACTCACAGTTGGCTGCTGCACCTCCGGCCCAGACGCGTTCTGGCCATGTTGCAGATACACTAATGGCCCGCCCGACTGCCGCGGCTGCTGGACAATGGGCGGCGAGGCGGACGGCGGGGCGGCGACTGGGGCGGCGGCTCCTTTGTCGAACTGGTAGTACATGACGTCGGTGGCGGGCGCCGTGCCGCCGTAGAGGGGAGGAGGCGGCGGCGGCGGGTCCGCGGTCTGCGACCCGGAGATGTGGTAGGCGGTCGTCTGCTGCTTCGGCGACCCCCCACCGCCCCTCCCGCTGCCACACCGCTTGGCATCTGCGGCATCTTGTAGTTGTAGATGTAGGGTCGCTCGTACTCGCCGCCGTGGATGTAGGAGAGGAAGAGGTCCGACTTGGCCGGCTGCAGCCCGAATCCCGCCGAGGAGCAGCCGCTGCCGCCCGCCCTGTTGCCCGAGGAGCGGTTGTAGCCCGCTCCCGGTCCCGATCCCGCTCCAGATCCCGATCCCGCTCCCGCCACACTGCTGCTGGCGTAGTGGAGCGGGTAGCAGCCGGCGGAGGCCAGCTGGGCGTGCCCGCCCGAGAGGAGCTGCGTCTTGGTCAGCCCCTGGCCGGAGAGCCGCCGCGTGGGCACCCCGATGTCCGACTTGGCGTCCCGCCGCTTCGCCTGCGCCACGTGGGTCGGCGGACCCTGGTAGTAGTACGGCGAGGCCGGGTTGCTGGGCCACTCCACGAAGCTGCGCTGCCGGCTGAAAGGTCCCCCACCACCACCATTCCCACCACTACCACCTGCGACTCCGCCACCGGGGACCGCCGCGCCGCCGGCCAGGCTGCTCACGCTGCCCGCCTGGCCACTGGCCACGCCCCGCGACCCCTTCGCCAGCGCGTTGTTCAGGCTGAACTTGTACTGGTTGTTCTCGAAGGTCGTGTAGTGGAGCAGCCGGTTGGCCGGCGACTGCGGATGGGGGTTAGGGGCGCCGCCCGGGCTCTGGCCGGACCCAGCTCCCGGCTGGGAGCTGTGCACCGGCGCCAGGCCCGAGGAGCCGCCCGGGTTAGTGGACGCGGAGGGCGAGGAGGCGGCGTGCTTGCAGGCGCTCCGCTGCTGCCGCTGCTGCTGCGCGAACAGCGAGCGCTGCTGCTGCTGCTGGTTACTCACGGTCTGCTGCATGAGGTTGTTGTAGTTGCCGCCGGCGCTGCCGCCCGACTTCCGGTGGGATCCGCTCGAGGCGCCCGACGACTTGTTGGTGCCGTAGCGCGTGCTGTCGCTCGACCTGTGGTTTTGAATCGGAGTTAAAATTTGGGTTAGGAAGTATACAATCAAGGAGGTTTTTGAATCAAGAAATTCCCTTTAGTAATAAGTCAAAATGGTTTATAGATAGTTACCTTTCCGATGAATAAGCGTAGTCCTGATCCGCTCCCAAACCCGAATCTGTGTGCTCGTGGGAAACCCGCAGAGCAGAGTTCTCCAGGGGACTCAGATTGGAGCCAGTGGGCGAAATGAAGTCACCCATGCTCATGCTGGACATCATTCTAATGGAAGGCCAAAACAATCAATAACTTTGAAGGAGTTCCACCTTCAGTACTACCCACCTAACTAAACCGTTGTTCCTCTCACACTCCCGCGAAGATATCGTGCTGGCCGACCGGATGGATCCGTTCTTGGGAGCGTTTCCCCCAGTTCCAGGACCTCCGTTGTTGTCGTGAGGATGCGAGCTTTGATAGTAAAGTCTACAATTACACATATGGGTTAAATACGAGCTGATGAGCAAATCAAATCATAAACTTAAAACTCTGAATAACAGTTAAATGCGAGATGGATGAATCATATGAGTTGCTGGCCAGGAGATACTCACCCTCTGATGCGGTCCACTCGGTTCCTGGCCTGACCCGTGTTCCCTGATCCACTGCCGTTGGTGATGGTGTTCCCCGATCCCGTGCTCTTGGCGCCCACACTGCTCTTGCTGTTGCTCTTGTGGATCTTCAGGTTGGAGTTGGACCTCTTCGAGGTGGTCTCCACCACCGTGTAGGGGATCTCGCGGAGCTGCTGCTCCGACATGCCCTCCGTGTCCACCAGGTCGAACTGCAGGTGCTTCGCCAGCTCGCTGTTCCACATTCGACTGCGCGACTCCGAAGGGGATCTGTGCAGATGAAATAGGTAGCATAAGTAATAATAAAACAAGAAAGGAAGCTGGCTTCGACATGCGAAGCTTATATACTCTTGCAGTCATCAAATATGTCGATCAAAATACATAGAGACTAAACAACATCGAAGTCATGACAATTTTTCCATTAACTTCCCTTATTTTCGATATGGCAGCTATAGGATATACATATTGGTCCGATTTTGATGAAATTTAATATTGTATTTAAGATTATCTGACGAAAAACAACGATGATTTTTCGATCCTTCCTTTGGCATGTATTGGTATATTAAAGTAATGCTAAGAGTAATATCCTCCGATAACTCACTTGTTCTTGCGATGCCTCCTCGACTTGTGGTGCGAGTGGGTGTCCGAGTGGCTGTCGTTGCTGTGCAGGCTCCTGGCCACCATGCTGCTCTTGGACACCGCCGCCTGCTGGACGGAGCTCTGGCCCAAGCTGGCCTCCGCCTGGCGCCGCTGCACCTCCCGCCACTGCGAGGTGGAGTCGATCAGCTCGGCGCTGCCGCTCCGCATCGAGGAGCTCCTGTGGCCGGAGTAGCTGCGACCCCGGGTGCTGTCGTGGTCCGATCCTCCAGCGGAGTCCCTGCGGTGTCGGTGCGATCTGCGGTGCTTTCTGTGGTGCGAACGGCCCGATCTTCCCGAGCGACCCGATCCCCGCGAGAGCTCGCTTTCGTTATCCGAAGTGCGACGGTGGCGGTGCTTGTGTCTTAATAAGGAGAATATTTAGGGTTAGATAACAAAATTTTAGTTATCCTTTTCCTATATAAATTAGTTTCCTTAAACAACAAATTACTCATCTCACAAATATTTAATAATATTCTGACCTTTCGTTCTCTAATGTTAACCCGATGACTTTTAAAAATTCCTTAAATCAAGATCTCAAGATTAGATAAGTAAGCACATTTGATGAGCAGTGAAATTCGAAATGATTTGCATATCGGAATTGTTCTGTTAAAAATATCTTTTCTGATAAGATACGTTCACATACCAAACTATAACGAACTGATGCGCAGTTAAATTGAGAAATTTGAGATTGATTAATCCCAATTTAATGGGTAAACACTCACTTGTATCCTGACACTCAAACTAGGCGCTTGCAGAAAGCGATAGGCTTTACTGAGAATCAAAAAGTCGCAGTGAGTAGACAACTTGACTCGTTCTTAACCTCTGCAGGGTTACTATCGGTAATGAATTTAATTCGCCTCGTAAGATAAAAGAAGTGTGTGCCCTATCTAGATTCCTAACTTTCTGACATTCAGGATTTAGATGCTACGATTTTAGCCAGTCCAAAGTTCATCAAACTGTTTACAAAAATGCAAATATGTGCCGAAAAAGAACTATTCAAATAATAAGATATGTTAAGAAAGGACTTCCCGCTTTAATGACCTCATGGGTTTTTCTTAACAGTAACATTAAACTAGAAATACTTACTTGCGCGTGGACCGCGAGTCGTTGGAGGAGTGGCTCTCGACTGAGCTGGAGCGGTACCGCTGCTGCTGGTGCGAGGCGGAGGAGGAGCTGGCCCGCTGCCGCTGGTGGTGCGACTGCGACTGCGAGTGGGAGTGCGAGGAGGAGCCCGCCGCGGAGGAGTGCGGGTGGTGCGGGTGGTGGCTGGTGCCGTGGCCGTGGCTGTGGTGGCTGTGGTGGTGGTGCAGCCCCCCGCCCGCGGTGCTGGCGGACCGCACGGACCTCGGGCTGGAGGGGTTGTGCCCGAAGAGGGAGCGCTGCTGGGAGCGCGGCCAGGGAGCACTCCGCGTGCTCCGCGGGGAGTCGGGGGTCTGCAGGTTGCCGCCGCTGTTGTTGTTGTAGCTGCTGGAGTTGTTGTTCTGCTGCTGGTGGCAGGGCCGGATGCCCAGGCTGGTGGGAATGCTGTAGGTGGAGCGGTAGGGACTGTCGTAGTTGCTGTTCCGGAGGAGAAGGAGAAGGAGAGCGGGGGCGGGGATCAGTCAGCGTGATCTCGCATTATTTTGCCATAAATTTAAATTGTTTAACATAAACGTTGATTAAAGCCGCGGCTAGAGCCCGTTTAGGCTGTCCAATTCGATCCGAATCGAGGAGGCGGGCAGGCGGGTAGGCGGGAAGGTGGGGATCTGGGGAGGCAGCTCCAACACGCCGAGATCGACACAGACAAATAATGCGCGTGTGCAAAATTGAGTAATTGCCGCACTGGCAATCAGCGGGCAATCATTTCGTACTCTCAGGAGTCGTCGCTTCGCTCAGTTCCACCGAGGATCCCAGGAATCCAGAACGTGCCCGGTGATTTATGCTCCCTGCGATCTGCGATCTGTGATCTGGCATCTGGGATCTGGGATCTGCGATCTGCGATCTATGGAGTGGGGATCGGGGACTGGAGATGGGGGATTGGCTGCCTGATTGGCCTGATGTTTGGCTTCTCTTTGTTTGCAAATGATAAATGACGCGGGCTATTTGCTCATCCGCGGCTTCGCCTAGGCATCCAGCGATTACTCTTCGTTTCGGGCGGGGATTGGCTTCTATTACCTTATTTAGAGCCTCACCTGAGCGTGTAATTTATGCACGGATGGTGGGCAAACACTTACGCCGGACAGCTGGAAGTGGTCCCTGGTAATTGTCTAATTCGAGTGCTTCTTGCACTCTGCTCAGCTCAGTGCCACTCGGAGTGCACTCCCCTTCTGCGAATCTCGCGGCATGACTCAATTTCTGCGCAAAGTTACCAAAGAACGACTGAATTTTATTTGGCCACATAATGTGATGCCTTCGCTGCCGTAAAACATTAATAAATGCTGCGTCTAGACTCTAGACAATGTAACTGCCTCCGAAATGGCAACTAAATGGATTTGAACACGAATTCGAAACAGAAACCGAAACAGAAACAGAAACCAGAGTGCCGGGGGGCACTTGAGACGGGACAATGCCAAGGAGCTTCTATCCATCCGTCCTGTTTGTCCTGTCAAACGCAGGCGGGAAAGGCGGAAAAGGCGGGGATGATGAAGTGCCCGGCTGCATTCCGCTCAAATTGAACCCGGCGATTCCGAACGGCAATGGCAATGGCGATGGCCATGCCGAAATATATGTTTTGAAATTAAAAAGAGATCAAAGGCGAACCCTCTCAACGAGCCACATAAGAGCTCTTCCGGCGCGCCAGCTCCAAAAATGATTACTAAAAAGCAAAAGGAGTTGGCCGAAAAAAGGACTTGGCCGAAAAAAGGACAACTGCGTCAAGGGAAGCAGCTGCCGTGCACACACGGGTAATACAGAGCGCGGGGCACTACGGGTAAATCAAAACTTTTGTGCTCGGAACGAAAACAAACGGCGGGCTTTTCGGGAGTACTCACTTCGAGATGGTGCCCATTCCTGGCTGGGGCAGGGGTCTGTTGCCCATGTGGCTGCCCCCACTTGGGGTTCCGGCTCCCAATCCACTGCTGTTTCCATTGCCATTGCCGTTCCCGTTGAAAAAGTCATCAATCACGCGGCGCGGCTGGCGCTTCGAGGGAGTGCGGGTGAAGGCGGGCGGCGATCGTCCGGCGGAAAGTGCATCCTTCTCCGTCGACTTGTCCGGGCGACTTGGGTGCGGTTCGGGGTGTGGCAGGCATGCGGAGTAGGTGGTGGTGGTGGTGGATGGAACATAAAAGAAGGCATAAAGGCGTCCAAATATTAACAACACAAGTAGGGAACACGCCAAAACAAAAAACATGCGAAAGACGCTAATAATGAACAGCGAACCGTAAAAAGGTTGTAAAACACACAGGCCAAATAAAACAAAAACTTTCATTTGTTCCCCAAATTAAAAATGCTCTGTTCTTGGGGCAGCCGTAAAACGCCCCTAAAAACTTTTTGGCCACTAGAAATTGTGCTCCAGCCAAGTTAATAGTTTCACTGAGTTACGGTTCGCCACGTGAACTCCATTTGGAGCCGAGCCGAGCTCGGAGCAAGAAAGTTTGCCGCAGCAACTAAATGGTCGGCCGCAGTCACCGCAAATGTCCAGTCATAAACATGTGAAGGATCTGCCCCCTGTGCTCCCCTCGAATCCCCTAGATTCTGCTGAGTTCCCCCAGATTTCCCCGACTGCTCGCCACATTCGTCATGCACAATTGCCTGCATTCGGTGAGCTTAGAGCTTAGAGCCGCCTTTTCGCAGAAAGTCATTAGTGGGCTTGCACTCGAGCTGCTTTTTGGCTGACTGCCCGAAGGCCCCTAATCCCAGTACCCCACTCCCCTGCAGATCCGACATTTTTATTGGACTTCCAATTAGTTGACCAGGCGATGGCGATGGCGATGGCGTAAACTTGATCTATGAACACTGCTGCGATGCACTGCACGCCTGCTTCTGTTTGGTTTGACTTTGACTTGGCCAGAGATGAGTTCTAATTGGGTTGGCGGGAAATTCGAGGAGCCGACATGCGAGCCCAGCTCACTTGTCGTTTTCAGGGGTTCCTTCTGGAGTGGCTGCTGATTAAATCCCGACTGCATGGGCATGACTTATTGAAGGGGAAATAATGGGCGACTTTTGCATTACGAATTTTCCTGATTAAATAGTTTTTGGCCATACGTCCGTTGTTGATTTAACTTGTTTATTTGCAACATTTTTAGGAAGTCCAATACCCCCACTTGAATTGCCAACACAGAAACCTCTTCGAACCCACTTCTCCTCTCGAGAATCAGCTCACTTGTTCGCTTGGAGCCCAGCCCCGTTTCCCACTTGAGCTCCCCTTAATGAGCTAATCACATAAGGTGCATTTGGGGTCGAGGAAGTGAACTCGAGTGCCTGGCCATTGAAATTTGTTACGTCTTAATTGGCTGCGCTTTCGGGTTTGGTCAGTAAATTAGGCGGCGGAGCTCCCTCCGCTGGGCGGGGCACACACGACCGCTCCCACGGGATCCTCCCTGGAATCCCTGTTCCTGGCGAGGGGGGAGCCCAGTTGACCCAGCTGGTACTCACCTGTGCCTGAAGCGCGATCCCAGCTGGAAGAGGTCGGCGGCGTGCGACTGCGAGCTGGGCAGGGGGGCCACTCGCACCTGCCTGAAGAAGGCGTGGTGCTCCACGCAGCAGCGCCACAAGTGCTTGCAGGCCGACTTGCGGGGCGTCTCGAATCCGTAGGTGCTCAGCTCGTTCTGCGGGAAGACAGAGAACAGAATCCAATCGCGGAGGTGTGATAAGCACTAAAGTCGAGTCACGATGGGAACAGGGAACTGGGAATTGGTAACTGGTAACTGGCAACTCGACTGGGAAATGCCGACAAAAAAGGGGGAGGAGTTACAAAGTGTAAAGTGGTGGCCGAAAAAAGGAATGTAAAAGGGAAAAATCAAGGCGAAGGAAAATGCTTAAGTTTCCGCCTTTTGTGCGCGTCAACTGGCTGGGAAACTTTTTTGATTATCAAAGCGTTAACACCCGAAAGTGTGCAACTTTCAGCAGCTTCGGCCATTCAGCGTCTTCTATCTGCTATCTGCTTTCTGCTATGTGCCACCGAAGCCACCGAAGCCACCGAAGCCACCAGCTACTTGTTGTCTAACGAGTCCTCCCACGCTCTTGGCGCCACTTGATGCCGCTGACAGCCAAAAGTTGTCACTGTAAGGGGCACCCAGAAAAATTGGCGACACTGCAGAACGGGAATAAGAAATTGAAGGCTTATGAAGGGAGTTGAGGTAAATAGGATACCCTGTGAAAATATTGCAGCTGGATCATATATTTGTTTTCTTTACTTGAGTACATTTCTTGGTTGAGGAATAACTTTACCTAAATATTATTTCCAGTTATTTAAATATTATTTTCCTGTTAGTTGTTGGATGAGAATAATTTAACCTCAAGTAATTTTTAATAAAATGTATTTCTGTATTTCTATTTCTACTATAAACTTTGTGCTCTGTGAGCTGGAAGACTCTTCCTACTCAACTTTGTCATAGGTCTACTACCCTTTAGTGGCAACTTTCGACCATTCACTCGCGGAACGAACTGCAAATTGTAAAAAGCACTTGTCGGCAAACAAATTTATGGCTGGGATGGGATTGGGACTGGGACTGGGATTGGGATTGGGGATCGTCACAGTGGCCATTGTCGTTTCGGGCTCCCAGTTACGAGTTACCAGTTGGCAGCTCCCATTGTCGCGCTGGGCGCGTTGAGAATTTACATTTTTATCGCTTATCCTGAGCATAAAATAGCGTCCTTTATAATAAACTTTGGCAATGCGCGGCCAATAGTAATGAGCCACCGTCGTCTTGTTGCGCAGCACCACGATCCCGCTAGGAGTCAGTCCCAGGAAGTACTCCACGCTGTCCTCGCCCTGCGGGAAAACCGGGAAAAATAGAGAAAGAGAAAGGGAGAGAGAGTGAGAGAGAGGGGGATGAGAAACTTTGGCAAACAAAGGCGGCGAAAAGTTTCCTCTCGGCCATTGCCAAAAAATGTGTTAACAAGAAGAAAGTTTTCGCCCATTAGCAGCAGGCGGCATTTTTATGGATACCTCGCGCAGCGATGCCGCCCAGAAAAAAGCCGAAATAAATGTAATTTCAGCTGTTAATTAAATTAAAGAAGGCGAGCGGCGAGGCTCAAAAGACGGCGGTCTGGCGCCGCGATAGTCAATGATTTGTGTCTATAAACAAACACGGCGACGAGCGAGCGAAGGGGTGGCCGAGTCCACACAACCCAACCACATGAAGCTCAAGGGTTCGGGGTTCGGGGTGCGAGGCCCCAACCCCACACATGGGGGTTCGGGGTGCACAAACACAGCTGGTGATTTATTGAGGTTTGATATCAAAGTAAAGGGCAATAAAAAATGCAAATGAAGTGCCAACTTACGCAGCCGGAGCGTAGACACACGAGACTCGCTTTCGGGGTAATCACCCCCCGAAATGTGAGCAAATGATTTATAATATTTGCCTCGAAATGAAATTAAACTTTGCATTCCCTCTGACCCCTTTTATCCGGATGGCTGAGCGTTGAGGCCCGCCTGTCTGGTGAGCCATCCCATCTGCGGTTTCGGAACTTGGTCCCATGTGGGACTCGGAACTCCCCCGCTTCACCCAGAATCATGAACAGCATCAGCACATCATCGCTTACCAGAACGGGATGCAGGTCCACGCCGTACATGTCGTGCCACTTGACTTTGTCCAGATAGTTGAGCTCGGCGCTGGAGGGCGACATCCCCTTCAGCTGCTGGTGGAGCTCGGAGACGCGGGTTTCCAGCTCGTTGCTCTGGTTCGGCAGGAGCCGGAACTCGGACACGTAGCCCTTCGAGTGGCGCCGCTGATCGTAGTCGCCCAGCTCCGCTGCAAGTGAACAAGCATATGGATACAAGTGGGTATGCCATTTGAGATTACTTATTTTAAGGGAAATCTACATGCAAAGTAAACATGATAAACACAAGGGACTTCAAGGGGGTTCGGGGAATGGGTTCAAAGCACTCGTCACCTGTGGTCCACTGCGTTTCCTTTTACTTACATTGCACCACAAAGGCTCCGAGCTCGGCGGCCAGTTCGAAGGCCACATGCAGTCGGCCCTGCAGAACGTCCTGTTTGACTTGCAGGAAAAGCTGATACCTGCAATGGACAAATTTCATTAGCCAACAGGAAAACGAAAAGCCGATAACTAGGCGACAAGCAGTTAACAAGTGGGCAAACAGAATCCGGGCATAAAATTAGTTGATCCCCTCGGATGTTTGTCCACAACAAACAGAGCCGACTTGTTGACTTTGGGCGTAACATGGAAATCATTGAAACCATTGAAATCATTGAAACCATGGACGATGAAACGAGTCAAATGAACGGCAGACGGTAGGCCGGCATCATATTTCACAATTATTTGCTAAAATCAGGCGCAGTGTGTGCTTCAAGCTGTCTGTTTGCACCAATCCTCAATCTCTCTCTAAGCCCCTCGTTCGAATTTTCAACTTTGTCCTGCCCAAAGTCAATTGCCGTTTATTGTGCGCCGCAGACTTTGTATAGCTAAAATAACACAATATTCTTTGGGCCACAGTGCACTTGCCATAATGCAACAGCAACAGCAATGGCCACGGCAACGGCAATTGCATTGCCACGCCCCGCACTCATCGCCGCCGCGCCGCCCCTTTTCCACTTTCCACTCTGCACTTTGCACTCGGCCAGAAGTGCATTTCGATGCATTTATATGCGCTAATATTAGCAGTGGATTCAGCGGCAGTTGGCGTGGATTTTGATGATGTTTGGCCAGTGGGTTTTCCCGGCTTTCCCCGATGATTATGGCGAACGTGTCGCCGTATGGAGAGCAAATATTTGCACACACCAAATGCTTGATAAATGCAGCACTTGCCCCAGGACACCAGACTCGCGGACTCCGGACTTTCGGACTCCCGATGACGTGGCGATGAAAACCATGGCCAGGGTCACTTTTCCGCACTTTTCCCCACTTCCCCGCCGTTTCCCTTCGCATTTGCGACATTTGGCGCTTTCCCTTCGGCCTGATGGCCTTTCCACCAGCGTTATTTTAATTTATTTCGCTTGATGTGCGCGCATAAATGCATTAATTGCTCAATGCATTATCCGCTAGTTGAGTGGGCAGGCCGAGTTCACAGTCCTCGGCTCGTGCATCTCAATTCGCTTCATTTGTTGTTTATTGCGTTATAATTATGCGTCTGTGTGCCTCAATTAACAAATTAAATTTGCCAAATTCAATTTATCGAATTTGCGGCATACCAAAAGTTGGGATGGCACAAATTAAATGCTTAAATATTAAATGTTTAAATATTAAATGCTTAAGCATTAAAAATCAATTCAACACCGCGCACTGAACTTTGAGAGGCTGTAGCTTGGATAGTTTGACTCCGATTTTAAAGAACGTGTTTTTTGGTTAGCTAGAAAACTGCTTTTGAGTACAAGCTTCGGTTTTTGTGTTACTCACCTTGTGATTTCCTCCAACAGCTTGCAGGGATCGGCGGCGTAGAACTTAACTCCGAAGTACAAGTCATAGGGATCCGACTTGGGCTTAAGTTGCCGCGAAATGCGGGACGCGGGGTCCAGCCAGTGCTGAAAGAACGCAGAGAAATAGATAAAATGGGTAATTCAAGGGCGCACCACGGGGCGTATGAGCAACCAGGTGGGGACACACTTTGGCAGGAGCGATGAAAGCGAAATTATGTAACCTGGCCCGCAGCCAAGGGACACTCAAAGAGTTGCCTTGGTCTGGCGGCCGGCTTTTTGTTTCATTTTCAGCGCTTGACGCGCCTGAGTGAATTTCAATGAAAACGAAAATGAATTTCCGAACCAATATGTTTGCCCGGCGGATGCGGCCTCCTCCTCGCCGCACACACTTACCGTCTGGTTCTCCTCGTCCACATAACGAATGCCGAAGTATGAGGTCTCGATTAAATTGAGCCTGGCAAAGACGACATCCAGCAGAGCCTGGCCGGGCAAATCATCCTGAAAATAGACAAGAAAATTGCTGTTAAAACAGAGCAGGCTCCGGAGCAGGATAAAGGAGCAAAAGCAGGAGAGGCAAGGCAAACACTGCAAACACTGGAAACACTGGCAAACTGTTGAGCCATTGAATGGCCACAGACACGGTCCCCGCTTTCCATTTCTGCTCTCCGTTCGTCCTGCGTTCCATCGTCCTATTCCATCGAAGCTCGGCTTCGTCCTGCGCCGACAAAAGTGAAAACTTCCCAGTGACAATTATTCAATTGGAAAATTGCTGCCTTTTTTGTGCCTCTGATAAAATAAAATGGGGAAATGGGAAAATAGGAAAACGCCCCCGTTCTTCTTGACCAAACAATTTATGGCAAATCGAAGGCGGCCGAAGTCGGAGTCATCGCCGGGCAATCAACGATTTTGCTGTTGGTTTAATTTAATTTGTTAAGGCTTTAAAGCGCCAATTCCTCTTTTCCCGCTCTGTCTGTCTGGTGGCAATAATAAATTGAGTTTATTCTCCGGGGAGACCTGCGAATCACCCCGAAAAAGGTGGCCGCAGCTGCAGGAACCGCAAAAAGCACCCAAACTACGGCCGTAGGGTGTGCTATTGTTAACCGCAAAGGCTGCTGCCTGCCACGCCCCCCGCTTACCGCCCGCCCCCGATGAGGAAGGAACGGCTCGTCGATTGTCTGCAGTGTGTCTCATGTGTTTCTCTTTTTTGGGAGCTGACCAACAGACACTGACTTTTGCCTTTTGTTGTGTGTTGTGTGTTCGACCCGCTGCCATGTTTTATTTATGGTGTTTCTGGCTGGTCGAAGGATCCCTTTGGGGGCATCCACATCCCCATCCCCGTCCCGATCCACATCCGCATCCTGCGCACGGCACTTCCCCTCCGCGTGCATATTGGCCTGCTTTATTGTTGTTGCGTAATAAACTTAATGGCTGGCAAGTGTGAACACACTGGGATTCCGGAGTGGGAACTCGGTGTAACTGCCAGTTCACTCGCAACTTCGGCCGGACTCGAACTCGTTTTGAATTTATGTTAAACATTCTGCTGACCGGACTCGAGTTCCGAACGGAGCTGCTTAACTTGCCGTCTGGGAATTGTAAATGCCAAAAGATGGAGTCAGAACGGGGATGGCATAGAGGTTTGTATTGGAAACGATATTTGATATACATTGCTCCCAAGTTTTTGTGGGATACTTACACACATTTGGTTGTTCCCTCGGTTCTGTTACAAGTAAGTTGTATTAATCTCAAGAATATTCTGTTTGAATGGTGTAAACCATAACTCTTTAAAGTATCACAACGTACTCCGCATGCAAATGCCGAGCGGTTGCTTTTTGCAGGAGCCCCGGGCAACAGGAGGAGATTCGGTGCGTGTGTGTCAAAACTAATTGCATTTGTGTTGACTGCATTAGAGGACTGTCGTTAGCAGGACGAAGTGACACAGTGACAGTGAATTGACGGCGACAGTGGCAAAGCGAACGTGAGCCTGCAGCCGAGTGGGCCAGGACATCGTCCCGCCGTCCTGCTGCTCAAATTGCATTACAAATACTGAGGCGAACGTGGGCAAGGACATTAAAACAATGGTCTGTGAAATTTCCTGCACAAGTCGTGTCCTTATTGTTTTCATCCTTTCTCCGAAAGCTCTCGTCCCCGCTTCCCTCGCCTCCCCCCTTGCCTTGCTGTCAAAGCTCTTACCATAAAACACAACACGAGAAGAAGAGTGCATTTTAAAAATGCATAAGGACATGAGCGTTCATCATATTGTCGGTTTGTCGTTTACTTAGCGAGAGCCGGAGCTAATAATGCATGTGCACGTAAATGGAATTCCAAATGAGGAGAGAGTGGAGCAAGACAGTATCCCTCAAACTTTGCCGAAAGCGAGAGGGGCTTCCTTATCGATCCGTGGCTATTGGATTGTGTACCTTTTTCCTTGGAGTCCCGGGAATCCCAACTAATAGACCCACAGAATAACAGTCGGCCTAATGAACTACTCGTTCAGCGCCTAAGTTATGGCCAGAAATCAACGTAAACACGTAAGGACCGCAATTAATCACGGGGGTTTGGCCGGAAAAGCTTGGGCAAACAAAAGTGTTTGGGTCCCGAAAGGTTTTCCAGGACCAGACGAGCGCTGGGAGGCGGAACTCCATTTCCCCTCGCCAATTTCCACACAACTCACTCACTGACAGAGTTCAATAAATTAGATTTTCCCCGGACCAGTGACGTAGATGATGTCTGGGGCATCAAAGGATGAAGGCTCTGGATGATCCTGATGCTGACAGCGCAGCGAAGGAGCACGAGGACGAAAAAAAATTAAGGAGACGCCGGATGTGCCCCACGATGATTATGTTGATGCTAATGATGATTAGGTCTTTGGCTAAAATGTCTTAATCAAATTATGCTTACTTTGATGTTGCTCGAAGGACCTCCCTCGCAGCCAAAGGACATCGAATCCTGGCCAAGTACACTTAATGAGCTTACATTTTGGCCCCATCCCCGCCTTCCCTTCCAGCCGCCTCTCAACCTCGATTGCCTGCTTTTCTTGTCAGCTGACGGCAACACTGAAGAACGAGGAAGTTTTTGCCATGCAACTTAATTAGGAACGCCAAGTGGTAAACCGGAAAATATAGCACACATGTCTGGCCACCAGCCACCCCACTTGCCAGAGTTTTTCCCACCCTCGGGGGACACTTTTCGGGGGCGAAATCCCAGCATCGCGTTCTCCCGAAACGCAATCAGCCTGCTGGCTAACTTTAAGTACGTGACTAACCCGAATTCGGCCTCCTGCGTGCTGCAGAAATCTGCTGCAAGTCCCTTTAACACAATTAACACATGACTTAAAGAGCAGTAATTCTTGTGCAGTTTCAAGTCCAGCCAGATTACACCCTCTTCTCTTGCGCAATCTCATTTGCTGCTGTTTAAACTTGAAGAAACGCCAGCTTATTGCCTTGCCGGAAAGCGGAGACAAAGCTGGCAGAAATGGAAAAATAAAAGCAAGTCCAAGTCGCTGGCAATGAGGGTCAGGTCAGATGTGGAAGACGATGCCCGGCATCTGCTGCCAAAAGGTTTTTCCATCCACGGGTCGTATACTTAATGCCCTCAATGTGAGCTTTCCCATTTTTTTGTGTGCAGCCTCTCCAATTGCATTGTGCGTATAATTGCGATGCTTGGCTTAAACGTGCGCTGACCTCTGACAACAACAACTGCAACAACAACAACAGCAACAAGAAAACACAACTCCGAGGAAAACAGCAAAAAGCAGCTAGGAGGAAAAAACAGATACGGAGAGCTGAGAGCTGCATTCGTTTGTGTTTATAACGGCATTATGAGTCTTAAGCTCAGGGCAGAAGTAAGAGAAATAAAAATAAAAGGCTCAAAGCAAACAAACGAGGCTAAAACAGAGAGTCGGAGAGGGACGGAGCGAGTGCAATGTCACAGACAAAACGGCGACAAAATGAAAGAAAAGCAATGGCAGCAACATCGTGTCGTCGTTATGCACAAAAACCAGGCAGCGTTTCCAAATGCTAAAGCAGATTTATGTCCCCCGCCCCAGGACCCCTCCCCCCCCTTCCATCCCCGTCCCGTGATCCTCCCTGCTCATCCCATATTGGCGCATCTTCACCTAACTGAAAAACACATTCAACAAACGAGATTTGCGTAATTCCTGCAGCTCAGCGCCGAGGAGAAGCTTTCTCGTCTCGTCTCCGTTTTTGTTGTTTTGTTGTTTGCCGGCTGCTTGTTCCTCGCAATGTTTGTTGTCAGACTGTGTGTTGTTGTAGTTGTTGTTGCTGAGGATGCTGGTTCCAGGCATTCCATCACCGAGTGCTGAATACCCTGCATCATTTTATTGGGCATCGAAATCAATTTAATTGTTGATCACCTCTAGGCATATTTAAGTATTCAAGCATTTAATGTTGGTAATCAGCTTTAAATCCCAGGGTATCCTGCATTCGTTTCTCCGCCAAGATTCGGTTGAGTCAGCTCCTTGCTCCCCAGATGCTGGCGGTTTAGAAACGTCGCTGTCTGTTTACGAGAGTTTTATTTCGCATGCCACGCCAAACGGCAAGCAGTAAGCGGCATGCGGCAAGCGGCACAAAGCCTGACAATGCTGGATGCGGATGGCTGCGACTCAGCCTCTGACTTTGGCTCTGACTTTGGACTCGGGTTCGGCATTCAGGTTCAGCACTCGGCATTCAGCATCAGCATCACCATCAGCTTTAGCTTCAGCCTCGGCTTTGGCTTTGGCTGAGGAATCAGCTCTGGCCGGGGGTTTTGGCCTCAGCTGCGATATGAGTTGTGGGTTCTGGTGCATCATCGTCATTTTCATCGTCACATAGCGGCACTTCCCATTCTGCTTTTCGAACAGTTTTTTTTTCCCATTTCTGCCGCATGTTTGGGCCGTTTTTTCTGGGTTGCAGTCGCTGGTTTTTTGGCCCGTCGTCGCTTGTCGCAGCTTTCCGGCACATATTTTTTTTCTTTTTTTTTGGATTCTCTTTGAGGACAGTTTCCTTTTGCAGAGCTAATTCCAAACTCCGGGGCGTGCTATCGACGCATCTGGGCGTTCTGGTGCCGCGAATCCGGTGAAATATTGCACGTGCAACTCAGATGCTCAGACGCTCAGATGCCCAGATGTTCCAGCTGTTGAACTTGTCTCGAGCTTTTCCGGCTTTTCCGGCGAGAGCTACGACTTCCGCCGCAGAGGCATCACTTGCATTTTCCACAAGTCGCAATCGCATTCGCACGACGTCTGTGCAAACGCTGGATATCATTGTTTGGCTGGCAAATATTTCTGCTCTTATCCAACTGTGCACAAAACTCAAGAAATGGACGTGTGCACTGCCAGAAAACTATGACTAATAAGACCCCTTGAACACCCATACATGATCGAAAGAACAAGTTAACTAGTTCACCTTGAAATAACTCAGCACAAGTATTTCAATGGACCGTTGGTCTCCAAATGTGATGAGTACTCAACATGAAATGACATAACCAGATCATTAATCATCCACACCAGACTTCTTGGCTCAATTCTGGCCAATCATGCTGGTGAAACCCCCGTTTTTCCGGGTGTAGCAGTCCGCACTCACCTTGAATTTCCTCGGCGCTTTGTTCGCTGGCCCATTCAAACGCTCGGCAAACAAACGGCGGAGCCAACTGACAGCGACACAGGGCGCAAAGAAGTCGGGCTCCGCGGTCCGGGAACGGAGGAGGACGGCGGTTGGACGTCGGACCACCAGGTGAGTGAGTTATCTGATGGCCGTCAAGCCGGCCCGCCTGCCACCCACCAGAAAGGCGGCCTCCCGCTGCCGGCTGTCCGTTCTGTATTTGCGTTTAAAGTTTTTTTGATTGAATTGTTGCAAATTGTTTGCAAATCTATTTCTCCGGGCCTCCGCCCCTCACTTCTGTACCCCTTTCCCCACGATTGAACAATTGCTTTTTGTCTTGTCTGCGGTGCGGGGGCTTTGTGGCCACGCAGATAGGTATACTCGCATTCGGGTATTCAGATTCAGATATTCAGATATAGCCGGCGAGTCTCGACTTGACACTGAGTTATGGTTCTGACAGCTGCGAAAGGCAACGAGCGGCGCAAAAACTCTTGGCCAGCTTGGCCCGGCTTTCGAGTTTCCGAATTTCAGTTTCTTTCAAGGGGCGCTTTGTTAATCCTATTATCCAACCGAAGCGCAACTTCAGCAACAGATAAAGTAATTACCCCAGCTGCCCCAAAAAGTGGCAGTGGCAGAAAAAAGGGGCAACGCCGGAAAACTGTTTCGCTGAGCTTGGCAAAAGGGGAAAATATTCGGGGTTTTTGGGTCTAACCTTTTGCCTCCTATTAATTACGTCATTTAATACGGTTGAAAGCGGGAGTATTGTAAAATTTGGTTTTCGCTTGGGCTCTACACAGTGGAAAAATTGTGGCACATATTTTGGCAACGTTTCAATTTGCTAAAGAGAGTCCTTATTCTGCTCGTTAAAGCCCCTTTTAAACTTGGATAACAAATTAAGTTAGTGGGGTACACCATTTTAATATTAATCACTTACTCTCTGCCCGAAAACCGAAAGCATAATCCATTCTGTCGGAGTATCTTTACCGTCGTTAGGCATTTGCCATGGAAATGCAGCCATTTTCATTTCGACTTCACGGGTCAAATCAATGGCCTGGCCTTGGAAAACGGCCCAAATTACCGTCCATAACTGCTGGCCAGGCCAACATTAAATTTAAGCACACAGAACACAGCTCACAGATACCGGGATAGCCAGATACAGATACACAGGTGTGGGTGCTGAAATCTAGACGCCGGCATTTATTTAGCCATTAAACACGCTTCATGGGCTTTGCTTATTTTCATTTTCATTATCAATTTGAGCGAGCTCTGTCCGGTTCTCGGCTCAGAGCGACCCGCCGCTGTAAAAAAGCTTTTAACTTAATTATGTTGGCCATAAACTGCAGGTTTATTTCGGCCAGCAATGACGCGGGCTGTGCTGCGAGTCGCGGACTCTAATTAAATGTCGCTCGGGGGCCTGGCCAACTTCTGGCCCCACGCTTGGGCCCCCGATACGAATATGGCCATTTCGAATAGCTGGCGTGGAGTGTTTGCTCGTGAGCCACTCGAACTAACCATTTTCCGAATCGGCCTGTCATTGCGGCCGGTGTGAAGTGAAGTGCTGTTGCGGCGCGGAATGATTTACATAAATTCTCCAATGGCACCCTGTATTGACAGAATCAAGCGCTGGACAAACAATGCCCACACACTCCGGCTCGGAACGGCTTTAACCGTTAAGAAATAATTATATAACCTTATCCAGCGGTAACAAGCTTATGCCATTTCGGCCGCCTCAAGTGCCAGAGTGCCAGAAGAGCCAGTAGAGCTAGCAGAGCCGATCTGCTTGGGAGCACTCGAAAAGTGGCCGAGTCTGCGGTACGAGTTCGGCCAAATGTCATTAGCATGGTAAGCGTGATAAATGGCCCACAGACTCGCGGATTCTGGTCTACATGCGCACGTAGACTTCCCAGTCTGGCATGAAGTCGTCAAAATCATTTGTCACAGTTTTGCCAGCCTTTAAGTGACTGGTCTCCAGGGCTGCGACAGAGGTCTTGTCCCGATTTCGGCGGGTTCAACTCCATTTTTCAGACTTTTGTCTCGGCAACTTTAAGACCTCTCGGAATCAGTGTCGAGCTTTAATGGGGATTTTATGGGAATAATAGAGCAACAAGGCACTGGTTTTAAAAAGTATTTTTGTATAGTTGTGATGTATGGCTTCTTTTGTGCAACAAATTTCAAGTTTTTGACATTTAATAATTGGATGTTAACGAAATAAATGGTCTGTGGCTTGGTTTAGTTAGTGGTTAATCCATTGCGAATAACTATAATTTAATAACATTTGTCTGCATCCCCTTTTTACATGCCCTTAAAAAATTTGCAATTAATAAATCCCTTTATGATTCAGCTAAATTAATTTCCAGCGGGTTTCATTCACAACATTTGTGGCTTTTTATTTGCGGCCGTGTATCTGCATGAATTTGTTTGTTTTCCGCTTGTCGACTTAAATTTAATCCGCAAGATAACGCATTCCGAATAATCACTCATACGCAACGTTTGGCGCGGCTCTTGTCGTGGCCATGAAATATCGATTACGCAACGGCGGCCCGGAGATGTGTGTTGCAACATCGACTGGCTGGGCGCCAGATGAAATGCGAAACGAGTCAACCGCCGAGAGCACCCCTCATGCGAATGCACTGCAAGAAAATATGACTATCCATTTAATTACATGTATACTTTTAACGATCTATTTATGCTCCTCTTTCTTATATAGCTTCTGGTATTTCTAAGAAAATCGTTTTGGTATTTTCAAATATGTAAAATCGTGTTAATTGTTTTCCGTGTACATATCTGCACTTCCCTGCTTCCGAGCTTTATCATTATTGGTTGACTGCAGCCGTTTGGTGGTTTTAAGTGCGTGCGCTTAGTGCCATCGGAAGCCGTCAAAATCAACACGGCCAAAACGACAACGTCGCCGTGGCGATTTGACAGACAGTTCGCCCAAGTGCCCCCCGTTTCCGTTCCCCTCCCTTCCCTTCCCTTCCGAATGGACTCCTTCCCTCCGTCGTGTAAATAAAATTACGTCTGAGGCTGGCGGCCACACGCATTTTTTCCGCTGCCATTTTTGCATATCAGCCCATCGTCATCGCCATCGACGCAGCGCGGCTCTTTGAGTTTTCATTCATGGCTGGGCTTTCGACGTTGTTTGTCGTGGCTTTTTTCTGGGTTTTCGGAATTTGTCGGCGGCGAGTCTTTTATCAATCATGTGGCCGAGGTGAGTCGCCGTTCCGCCAATAATGACAGGCGATAAGTTGTGCCAGCGAGCACTTGCCCTGGCCAGTTTTCGAACTCATTAATGGCGACCCCCGCGGCGTCTCGGCCACTTGGTCGATGTCAAATTGCGGCCACGCCCCCTAATGCCACTGCCCCCGGCTTGCGGCTGAGATCTTGTAAAATTATTATAAATCTCCCCTGATGAGCTGTGATTATTAGCGTTTTACGTGCTCCAATTTTTGCACATGCAACACACGCCACGAGTTGCTGCGAGTCTGCGAGTTGTCATTAGTCAGTTCCCGGAATGGCTAAACTAGTCTGTCGTCGTCGGGTTACCCCTTCCTGGATCCCCCTTCCCGATTCCCGACTCCCGATTCTCGACTCCATTCCGCCGGTCGATCAATCAGGCAGTGGCTGCAACAACTGCACTCAGCGCCGTGGGCGATTCACGCTCAACTGGTCCAATTACCTCGCACACACTGCCAGTCCCGATATAGTTGGTATACTATATATCCGCACGGCCCGACTCCACGGCATCTGCATAATTAACTGGCGGCCCTTTAAGTCGCTGCTAATTATGTCGCAGACCTCACAGGCACATCGCATCGCAGATGACAAGAATTTGCATTGAATATGATGGGGCAGCATGTCGCACGTCGCAGTCGAACCTTATCTCGCATGGAGCATCGTGAGATTGGCCTGAATTATTCATAGCGACCTTCAGGGAGGTCAAGAATAGCTCATTACTCTTTCTATATCGGCCCTCGACAATTAGATGTTGATTGGTCCATCAGTTGTGGTTTTGTTTTAGGACTTTCCATTACGATACCACTCAAATCACAGCAAAAAGAATTTAATAGTTTTCATGGCAATTTGCTGCTCGGCAAATGTCTTCTGTGTGTGATTTATCCGCAATCGATTCCGACTGGACGTCATCGAACTATTTTATAGCATTTTAATGAAATATTCCCTCCCCGGCGTCCATAACTGATTTATGCCCTCGGTTCCGTTCTCGGAATCGGAATATTTTTCAATTAAAGGCCAGAGACAAACACAAACACACTGGCTGGGGCTGGGAGTCTCCTTTTTCGTGTGGGTTACACTCCGGCGGGATTTTGCCGAGGTTTGCTGAAATGCTGAAATCAGAGAGCTGAAAACCAGGCCAGCCAGTGGAGAAAAATCACAACAATTTATTTGATTTGCCCGCACAATGATGCCAACTATGAGATGGCGTGCAAAATCAGCACAATTTTTCCCAGCCGAGCTGACTGAATGGAGACGGAGACAAAGGGATGCGCCCGACGACCCATTTAATTTGGCAAACGTGAGCAGTTTTCAGCCAAGAGGGACTGGCTGGCAAGGCGGTGAAAAACGGCAGACATCTGTGGCTTTGGACGTGTGAATGATGACACTTTGCATGTTTGCCGAGTCACAGGGCCTGCACTAAATATTGATGAGGACGGACGGGTTGGCGGGTGGACGGGTGGAGGGGCGGAGGGCACCCCTAAAATCCGAGGCACGTGCAGGGTGTGCAACACTTTGTGGCCACAAAACGCTCTTCGGGTAATGATGATGATGACACACGGTCCACACGGAGTGAAAGCGAAAGAGTTTGCCGTGTTCGCCGTGTTTGCAGAGGGATAAAGAGCTGGGGAGGTGAAGAGCTGGGGGCGGACTTACCTTGATCTCGTGTATAAACTCGGTTTCATCCAGCAAATTAATGCGCACGGACATAATCCGCGAGGGGCGGCAGAGGCAGTTCATGTTGCTTTCTTTGCCTCGCTTTGGCCGTTGACAAGATTAAGTATACGCCGCGGAGTCTCCCAGATGGTCGGGCATTTTCTGCAACGGCAAAGATAGAAAGTGGCAATTAATATCGTGCAGGTAATTAGCTGGCAATTAGTGGCAATGCAACTGCAACTGCAACTGCATCTGCAGCGGCGAACTGGTTCGCGTTTGTATGCAAACACGGCCGAAAGTATCCCCGGCATTCGAGCCGAGTCGAGCCACTAGGCCTTGTTTTAATAACTCTTTTGGCTTCGGCGCTTATCTGCTGGCAGATCAGCGGCACAGCCACATCAGCAGCAACAGCAACAGCAACAACATCATCATCAGCGGCAATGACAGTCCGACTGTCGACGGCTGCCGCTCCCTAGTCGGGCATTATCATTATAATTTTATAATTGCGGTTGTTTGCCGGCGATAAGTTTAATATGCATGAAGTGGCGAGGTGGAGTGGTGGGGTGGTGGAGTGGGGGAGTTGGCGAAGAATCACCTACGGCAAACGCAACACCAACAAAGTCACTTAAGCGGATTAGTTAAAGGGCTCTTGGGTCTCTGTGTGTGCGTTGGCCAAAAGCAGATTATGTCATTAGAGCCTCGGTACAGGGCCTTTGGGAGAGGAGTGGAAAGAGGGAGGGGAGGGGGAGGGGGAGGTGGAGCGCCGGGCTTAGGCTGCCAGTAGTTTGAAGCCCCCCGTGACGAAATTCGCGGTGCAGAGGAACCTGAATCAGCGGGCTGCCCCCCGAAAAGAAGGAGAAGTGCGGCTGATAAGCGCGGAATCTAAGCACACTTAAGTATGATGGACAACTGCATGTGACGCCCCCGTAAAGCAATGACTAACATGTTAAGATTGCGAGTTCCTGTTCGGGAAGGCTGAAGGCTGAAGACCGAGCACCGAAGACTGAAGACTAACATTTCAATCGTTGAGCCCGTCAAATTAGTTTGAGCCCCAAACAAACTAAGCCGCGCCAGGTCTGCCGTGTTCCGCACTGGTGTCGGCTATCTGGTATCTGGCAACTGGTATCTGGTATCTCCGGCGACTTCACACAACATTCGCCGCCGGGCGGAGAAAGAAAAGAGTTCGCCTTTCGGGCGCTGCAACTACAAAATAATTAATGTGCACTCGCATAATGAGCAGCTGGGGAGGCGGCAGGCGAGGCGACAGGGGAGGGGGCAGCGCCGGCAAAGGAGCAGCTGAAAACATGCCAGCTTTTCACACATTTCACATGGCCAGACCTCAAGTCTGTTGTTTTGCATACACCGACAGAAACGGGTGGGTATCGAATTCGTGGGTCACATTGAACCGGCAACCGGTTAGCCAGCAACGAGCAGTGGATAATGCATGACAAGTCGCGTGTGTAATCAAAGTAGTTGGGCGTCGTAATCGATTGAGCACCTAAATTACTCGTAGCACTATCGAATTTCTTTCTGTGTAGGATAGCGTAGCGCAAAGGCCGCCTGTGTTTTGCGCCTATGCTTTCATTAGACGCTACTAGCTGGCACATTTCCCACTGCCAGCGCCAGCTCATTACACTAATGAAATATTATGCCTAATTAATGGAAAGTCGGCTGCCGAGTTGACTGACATCTGTCATACATCTGTCTTAACTTGGTCACTCTGTCAACGCAGCAACGCAAAGGAATGAACATCGGCAGCGGCATCAATTAAAATGCATACGAGTATTGCGCTGGATCTGAATGACAGCCACTGTGAATGGAGGGCGGAGAATGCACTGCATGTAATTTTAATTGCAGCCAAACGCATGCAACAACAAGTTCATTCAACTTGCAGCCCCGCCCCCTCCGCCTCCCCCTTTCCCCTCACAGCCTCCCACAAGTGGCGGCGCTCGAACGCACAGCGGAAATTACAATTTACATTTATGTGCCGCACTTTTACGATGGCATTTTCCGCATTTTCCTTAAATTTAATGCTCATCTCGTTGAGCTCCCGTCTAGAAATTATGTACATTTAAATGGAAAGCAATTTGTGCGCTCGTAAACTAATTCATTGCCATGTTCTCCTCCAGGGGAACACAGCGCTGGAATTCCTAAAATCGATACTTGCATTCTCCTTCTTCTCTAGAAGCTTCGGGTTGTACTGAAAGTCGTGTCTTCTAGGTTATTTATGGAGTCACCGAAATATTGACTGCGTCTTAAAGCCGTTCAAAATTCTTTTGTAAATCAGGTTTCTCCTCCCGTTTTGCATGGGCAACCACAACACCCTTTTCAGGTCCCAGAAATCGCTTAAAAGTTGAATCGAAATCGCTCAACAAATGCCATAACTTTGGCCAACTCAACCGCAGGCCCATGTGCGAACTGGTCCCCGAAATCCCGAATCCCGCCAGCACACATATGATAAATATGACATTGATCGATTTTTGAGCAGCGGTCCCATCCCCCGCTTTCCCTGACACTCGCCAAATTTATCGCCCGGCATATTTATAGCGCCATATCTTTATGCCCGAGCCTGTGTTTACAGGACATCATCAACATCAGCATCAGCATCAGCAGGAGCAGGAGCAGCGTTCCTTGAGCCAGCGACACCCTCATAATTTCTTTTCCCATCAAATTTATCACAGCAGCAGCGGGCGGTTGGCGGTGGGCGTGACTTTTGGCCGAAACCCCACCCCCTTGGGTAGTCGTTACCCCGGAAAAAACTTGGCTTGATTTGTGATAAAGTGCGTGTGGCATTTGGCAGAAACCACCCGTCCTTTGCCTATTTATCAGACGAAAACTTTGCTTTCAATTTTCCGGGGGATTTTACTACTTTCTCTGCCGTCGCCGGCTCTTTATTTTCCCCTCCTCTTCTTTTGCTGGTGTATTAATAATATTTTGCCAGAAACTCTGCTCCTCACATCATCATAAACTCCCCACTTGCATTCATTCAGCTTTTTTGCCGAAAGACGAACGAACGGACGGACGGGCGTATCAATAACTGAAAATGTCTCAAACAGCATTTTGTCATATTTCAATGGATCACAGGACCCGACCCTCGTTCCCGCCTTTCTCCTTCAGCCATTTCATGTTTGCGGAAGTAACACCCAGCCAAGGCAAACAAACTTTCAGCACATACATCTGGTTTGGTTTGGGCCAGGCGAGGGGTCGTCTGATTCTGGCTAAACGAAATTATTTATTACCGCCTGTGTGCGTAGAAGCTGCTGGTAATGATGATGAAAAACGTGAAAGCATCGAGGAGTGCAAATGGCAAAAAGGTGAGAACCAGGGGCGGGACTCCAACTCGAATGAGGATTCACATTCGGATGAGGAAGGATTGCCCAAACTCAGAGTCGAAGGCGAACCTGAACCAGTGCCAGACTTCCAGACCTTCAGACTTTAATGATGATTAAATGCGCTCCGGGTTTCGGGCATTAGAGGGATGTACGAATACTGGAGGCACAGAGGCCACACTCCTGGCTCTGATTTGCTCCTTTTTTAGTTCGCTGATTTGACTGCGGAGCGGAGCGGTTGGAGATGTTGGAGCTATTGGTTTCAGGGCTGCGGGCAGTGAGATGTAAATAACTCTCAAATGAGCTGGAAAATTGAAGCCAAGGGCAAGGCATTTATTTCCCGACTGCAAATGACTGCGAGTTAATGGAAGGTGGGCATGCCAGAGCTTCGGGGAAATTCCACGCCGACAGATGTGGAAGGGTTCTCGGAGATGCGTGCATCTCGAGGCCCAGCAATGACATAATCCCGTCCAGAATTAGTTGGAAAAACATATTCCCCACTCGAGGCGAAGGCCCTCGACGCTCCTCTCGAGATATGCGTGCGCAAAATTACTTAATATTTGTTCACGAGTTAGTCTCGTCTCGTTTTCTGACTCCGGCGCTAATTTCCAGGAATTTTCTAGCCGGCTCATTCCTTCGGAGCAATATGCATGCTGAAAGGTGCACTGGGAAAAGCGGGAAACTCGTTGCATGTCCACCTTAAAGCTTGCTACTCGCGCTGATTGGAATAAAATGCTTACTCTGGGTTTTGGGCAATCGTGAATGGCCTTCTGTTGTTATCCGAAATATTTCGTTGACAGGCAGGGGAGTTGCACGGAATTTATGATAAATTTTGAAGGAATTTTCCCAAGTGCATGGGCTTAGCCACAAAGCAGGCGAGAGCAAAGGCAAAGGCAAGTTGGCAATCCGCAGGCGGGCATAAATTTTACAGCCACCTCACACACAATTGCCACATAACATATGGCTCAAAAGGGTGGAGCAGGGGCAACTGGGCGTGGGCCTCGGAATACCTTGAGGCATTTGCAGCAATTAACACGGTCGACGGCGTGTCTTGGCGCCCACTTTCGACGGGGGCACAATCAGAGCCAGATCCCCAGCCCGCCAGTTTCTTTCTCACTTATTTTCGGCACATAATGAGCCTGCGGAACCCAATTGGATTGTCCGAGACAGCCAGCCAGGCTCTAATTGCATTGACGCTTGTGCCCCGGAATGACATTCCTCCTGCCTCATGCACCATGCCTCCTGCCCCATGCCTCATACCTCGTGCCTCAAGTCGACTCCTCGGACTGATTGAGTTGCAGTTAATTATGCCTCGCTGGCATTTCGATGATTTTAATGATTTGTAGCGGTTTGCGGACAAATATTTTGCCATATCCCTGCCCCCACTAAAGTCGCGTACCCCTCTCGCTTTTTTCGCCGAGTCCTCGCTGTCGAGTGCAATGACACACAAGATTTTTTGCACCGTGTGCCGCATGCTGTATGCTGCATGGTGCATGCTGCATGAGTATTTATTTACAGTTGCCGTCAACCGACAAGCGACAACCGACGAGCGACGACGACAGCTGCCTCCAATGAATCAGCGCGTGTGTCGCCGAGTATGCGTTAATATTTAAGCGGTTGCATGGAAACTTGTTAACACCAGCCAGCCGACAACCCAGACCCAGAATCCGTCCCAGAATCGGGCCCAGACTGCGCGAGGCTAAGGCCCAGACGGGCGCCAAGGGATCGGGTTTGCCAGGGGGAATACGAGGGGGCGGCACCCCAAAGGGGATGGAAAGGGGGAAAAGCGGGCAGGGGTTGCACGGCTACGTGAGTGATTGTCAAGTGCTTGAC